GGTAAACGACGAACTCTTGTCGCAGGCCTTCTCGACTTATGCTTCGTTTGCGATGGCCAAAGTCGTGCGGGACAAGCTCACGCACAAGTCCAAGGTATGCGGCGCATCTGGCTCGAGCTCATGTAGGACGCTAGGGCTATGGCTTTGTGAGCTTCCTCGACCCCTTTGACGCGGCCAAGGCCATGCGCGAAATGAACGGCAAGTACATTGGCAACCGCCCGGTCAAGATCTCCAAGGGCAAGTGGGAAGACCGGTCCATCGACGTGGTCAAGAAGAAGAAGGGCGGCAAGAAGAACAAGAAACATCTCTTCAGTTAGCCTAGCTGAACACACGAACGTCGTCATCCTTGCATACCGGTAGCCACTTGCTTTGGATCGCAGGCTCGCCCTCGACAGCATGCTCCAGGTCCTCAGTCGTTGTGAAAAGGTAGTATGGAAGCACTAGTTCGACGCGTTATATCACCCAAGGGCCATCATACATACTGGTTCAAAAACCACTGCGGCTGCTCGTGCAACAATCTCATTGACTCAAGACGCGTGAACCGGCTTGACGTCAACTTCCGCGCCGCGCTTCATGAGGATTGCGACACAGCGCTTGTTCATGGAGGCAACCAGCGTCTTGAGGTACGCACTCGACAGACGGGACCACGCTGTCTCGATCGCAGCGCGCAAGGCAGGAACGGACGAGTAGCGGCGTCCGTCAGCGTAGACGTCGCCCATTACGTGGCTCCAGACGTTCTCGATCGGGCTGAGATCGGGCGACCGAGCCGGCCACGACAGCACCTTGACCTTCTTCATGCGCAGAAAAGCTGCCGTGGCTCTGGATGCGTGGACCACAGCGTTGTCGTGCTGGAACGTGTGGCGCGACCGGTCGTACATGGACAGCAAGTGCTGCTGCAGCGTCCTGCAGTACGTCATCGCGTCCTGCTTGCCGTCGAGGATCGCGAGCACCTTGGTGCCATCTGCCGCAAACGCGCCCCAGACCGTGATCGAAGCCCCCGGCTGGATGAGCTGGTGCGTCTGGTTGACGATCTGGTCGTCGATCTGGTGGACGTTCAGATAGAACGTCTTTTCGTCACTGAAGATGACTGAGGACCAGTCAAACCGGGCTTCGAGATGACGCTTTGCAAAGAGGACGCGCTGCCGCATCTGCGCAGGGGTCAAGTTGGGCACCTCGGAGCGGAACGGCTCGGCACTGGAGACGATTTGCTGGATGCGACGAACTCCGAGGGGCACTTGGTGGACGAGACGCAACTGTCGGGCCGTGAAAATACCTTCAGACGCCGCCGCGACGAGTCGCCGCGTCGCCTCTGCGCTGAGCTTTGGCTTGCGACCCGGTCGTTTTGCCGTGTTGTACGCATCCGGGTCCTTCAAAAAGTGGTTGACAACCTTTGGGGACCGGCGGAGCTGCTTGGCGATCGCCCGGTTCGAGAGCCCCGAGTGGCTCAAGGCCAAAATACTCTCGCGCTCGCTGGGCGTCAAAATTGTCCCTCGTGGCATTCTACCGCAGCGCGAAACGTTATAATTCCATCAACGAGCTGTTCACGAAGGCCATGGTAGCCGAGAGACTCGCAGCAATACGCCGATACAAGCAAGTCTCCGAGGTCTAGTGAGCCTATAGCATTTCGCTGACGTACCTGCTGCTCGGTCGACGCTTGCGGAATGATGGGTGCCACGTATGGACCACCCAATGGAGCGCCAATCACCAGGCACGGCGCGCGCATCCCATTGGTTCTCGAGTGAGGCTTTCAATATTGCGCCCATTGCCCACGCGCAAGCTTGATCAATATATACGCTGGATAGCATGACGATCCGCCAGCTGACCAAGCCATGGTTCGAGGTCTCTGGGCGACGATTTTCCAATTGTACTTGGAAGTCGCGCCTACCTCACCCACGCAAGATAGCATTTTTTGAAAACCATATATTTACGTGGTCCGAGTCCAGGAGCCTGTGTACGACATCGAGCGAGCTATCCCTCGGCGAGTGGGGTCCACCACGGACCACGGGATGGATCTCTCCGTGCGCAGCTCACTTCTAACGACCAAGTGCTGGTGCCAACTCCCACGCATTCAGGCGTAGCACTACGTATGCGAAGTCTTTGCGTTAGTTTTTGCTAATATGATGTCAACGCAAACACGTTGGATTGATTGATTGATTATTGATTGATTGATTGACTTCGAACACGATGGTTGCCGGTGGACAATTATCTCTTGGCTCCACAAGGGTTGATTGATGCGAAGCCACCATTGCCGTCAATCTCAGCGCCGAAGCCATGGTCTGCGTTGAAGCGTCTGCAAGGCGGACCCATCAACCACGGCCAATAAATTCGTTGAATGAAAACCATCGCCGCCTCCACCACGGCGCGGCAAGCACGTCGTATGCATGTCCTCTTTAAACCGCGTGTTTCTATTGATTACATAATGCAAGGGCGCTCGATGGATGCCTACTGATGTGCTCGCTCGGTCCGATCGCGGACAACTGCATAGTCACGGCCGTTGGCCGGCGCCATGCGCGGGTCGACGAACTCGAGCCACGTCGTGGCTCTGGTGGCTGCTCGTCGGTTCCGCGGATCCACTTTGTGCGTCGTTGAGGTCAGCGCCACGACGCACGCTTCGTTGTCCTCGAGGTAGCTGCTTGCGTGCAGGGCACTTGCAATCGTCTCCGTCAGCCGCAGCTGCAGCACAAAGGCAAAGTAGACTGCGAGCACCGGCGTCTCTTCCTCGAAGCGGAACGACACCATGCGCAGGCCGTAGCCGTCTTGAAACGAAAACACAACTGCATCCGATGGCGACGTGGCAGCGACGAGGTCCTCGGCGAGCGTCGGGAAGAAGAGGCAGAGGACAACCGAGAGCGGCAGCCTACATCTACGATGAGACCGAGAAGAAGCGGACGAGCGTACCAGAGCTGGCGGCACACAAAGTTGGTCACGTCGGGCGCGATGGCGCAGTGCTTTTCGTGGAATGGACCGCGGTCCGGGAAGAGATCGACAATGTCTCGAATGGACGCGCCAAAGCGCACGCTGGACGCGAGCCAGCCACAGAGGTGGGCCCGGGCGGCGCGGCCGGCGCAGTCGCGAAAGTGCTCGGCGAACGCGACCAAGCCGGCCTCGGACGCCACGTCGATGGGGCAGCGCCACGCACAGTTGCGGCAGTGGCTCCAGCGGCAGTGCGCGCTGCGCTGCCAACTGCTGTGGGCAAACACACATGCGCATTCGGACGGCGGCGACGCGGTGGCTTGCATCATCATCGTGATGGCAACGTGCAAACTGAATTATGATGGCAAGTTGCTGGAATGCAGGCAGAGTGGGATCACAACTCACAACCCAACACAATGCAGCGACAACTCAGCCCCGGCAACTATCATTTGGCTGTATCAACGGAACCAGCCCAAGCTATCAGAATAAGCTTTCACTGATAGCTTATATTCGTCGTAGCACGTCATTTCAAGGTCACTTTACCATCGCGGGATGGGACAATGAACGACTTGTGCTTGAAGTGCCACATGTCGTACAGTAGTGTCGTGAATTGTTGTCGTTGTCCTGGATTGCGGAACTGGACACTGCGCTGTCCAACCGTCGTGGGACAGACAGCAATCTTTGCCCACAACCATCGGGACCATCACCTGCATCGCTACTTTCTCGTGCATCGCGGCCCCAACGCCACGCGCAATGAAGGCGACGTTACAATCGAACGCCATTTGAAGCACCAATAAATGATCCTAGAAAAACGAAGCGGGATTCGAAGCGCCAGATCGAAGCCGCTAGCTAACGCCGCACTTCTTGTCGCGGCGGTTCGTGCCGCGTTCCGTTTGCATCGCGGCAATGACGCTGCGCGCGACAAAGATGTCGAGTCGCGTCACTGGGCAGTCGAGCATGGCGACGCTCAAACTCAAAACATGATCGTCAACGCGAGCCGTACCGCCATCGCCGTCCATGTCGAGAGGCAGCTGGAAGAGCCCCGAGAGGTACGCTAGGATGGGCGGCATACTGTTGCCGGTCGTCGGTTCCTCCAGAAACCGCAGCGAGGCGAGCACGAGGCCGGTGCTTGGCTCGAAGACGAAGAGGACCTCGTCGCTTGCGTCCAGCTTCGTGGGCAGGCTTGGAAACTGCGCTGCTACCGCTGCAAGCGGACTCCTATCAGTAGACATGTCAGGTCTCTAGCTTCGTGACCGTCAACACACATACCGAAGCGTCGTGTGGCCATCGAGACTCGTCGTGGCCGGCCAATCAAGGAGGCGCTGGGCAGCCTCAAGTGAGGTGCCCAGCGGCAGCGGAAGCCAGCGTTTCAGAACTGCATGCGTCGGTGGCGGCGGAAGGTAGTTGCGGTTGTTGATAGGCAGGCGGCGCGCATCTGCAAACTCGAGGACGGTGAGCAGCACGTTCGGATTCTCGTCGGCGTGGTATCCCCGCGGGCCGAGCGAGATGAGCGTCGTCGCGTCGGGCGTGAGGACCGATGCGTCAAGGCGCTCGTCGAGCTGCACTTGAAAGAGCCGAGCAAAGTACGCTAGCACCGTCGGTATCTCCGTCGGCGTCGACGGCTCGAAGAACCGGAACGAGAGCATGCGCAGTCCGCCGCCTTTCTCAAAGAGGAAACACGCGTAGTCGTTTTGACGCAGCGTGCGCGGAAGGAATGGAAAATGGTGGGCGACTTCAGCTAGCGGCGCCCTACGCCCTGCACTATAAGCTTCTCCTTCGGCCGACGTACGCTCGCCGTACCAAAAGTAGTAGCAATGAAAGTTGGTCACCTCGCGCGCGACGGGACAGCGCCCCTCGCGGTACACGCCGCGGTACTCTGGCAAGAGCGCTGAGACTTCTTCTGCGGTCGCACCGAACGCGACCGGCCCCGTGAGCCACTTGTCGAGGTGCGCCGCGTGCCGGCGGCCGGCGCAAACGGCAAAGTGGGCGGTGAACGCATCAAAGCCGGCGTCCGAGGCCATCTCAAGCGGGTCGCACCAGGCGCACATGCGGCAATGGGTCCATGCACACGCCTCAGCATGGTGCCACGTCCCGTCGGCAAACGTACAGCCGCACATCATCGTCGTCTCCGCCATACGGGTTGTCGTTTGGTTGTCATTCCAGCCCGACCGGTGACCAGCATTCTCATTCGCCGAGTGATTGTGTGGTAAGAGTGGCGATTCACATGTGTCGCGACGGTGGGCGCTATTAGTTTCGCCATGGAAGAGTGGGGACTCCAACACCAAACGTGCGCATGCTGGTTCGCTCTAGCGACGCCGTCGCGGCCGCCTCGTTCAGAAATGGCTTCCACGAAATCGGTGCTACTTTATCTTGTAAATTGGGTGCGGTTTCTCTGTAATCGTCGACTTGGTGCGCTTTTTCGCCCTCGACGATGCATGATTGACAACGTACAACATTGTCATCGACCAGGCATTGTCTGTTGGGTTTACACAAAACCTGAAAACGATGCATAGCTATGGCCGACGCGAGTCGATATCCAGTGCTAAAGAAGATCTTAGTGGTAGTCTTATAACAACGACACGAATCGAATGAAACCAAGAGAGATGCAGCGAGGGTTCTTAAGCGCTTTGAACGGCCGTCGTTACCCGCGACGTATGGTGCAGAAGCCGCTCTTCGAGGGTCTCGCGCTGGCGGGAGAGCTGCATCAGTTGGCGCTGGAGAGCGAGCACCTTGCCGTCGTTGTCATTGAGGTTGACGGCCACTTGGTCCAAGCAGCGCGGCAGCTCGTTCTGGACCATGGCGGTGATCGTGGTCCACTGCGCGTGCGCGGCCGCCGCTTGCTTGTAGCGCTGGAGAAGCGCCGCGTAGTCGGCGAGGCGCGTCGAGAGCAGCGTGTGCTGGCGCAAATTGATCTCTCGCACCGACAGACACGCCGTCAGCGTCACGCGGCACTCGGCCTCGATATCCACGACCCGGCGCCACGCGTCGGCGTCACTGGACCGGACGCAACCACCGGGCGCGTCTTGCTCTTTTTCTTCTTCGTCCTCACCGTCCATGTCGTCGTCCGGGGACCACGGGAGCGGCGTCGGTATGCGGCCCGTCGCGCTCATCCACGGAAACGACTTGCGCGCGAGGGCGACGACAGGCTCCAAGAGGTGGCGCGATCGGGTCGTTGGCTCCGAGTAGCGCCGTACGCGCGGACTCTGCATCGTCGAAAAGGTCGTCGTCGTCGCGAATCCGCGTGGCGTCGGCGTCATGTCCCGATCCGAAACTCCTGTGACGACGGTATCCTCGGTGCTGGTGAAACGTCGGCATCATTTAATATCTCCACGAGGAGCGTGCCTCGAGCCTTTGGTCCGAGGCAAGGCAAGAAGACCAATTGGTATGTCCTTGGTCCGAGGCTCGCCGAGCCCGTGTCGGCGTTCCGACCCGCTTATGCGCTGCACAATTTCACCCAAGTCGACGACATAACGAACGTCCTGTACGTGCCCGAGATTGTGGTGGCGCCGATGGGCAATCTTGCTTCGTTGCCCACCGCTAAATCGCAGCAACGCCAGCTCCAGCACGAGGATGGTCTGCCGTCGACTCGTGTCGACTCCTGTCGAAGAATGTCATGGGGCTGCAGTAGCTATGCGCTGGACGCAGCGACCACCAACGCCATTATTGAAGGCGGCCGACGGTCGCTCTTCAGAGCACGAAGACGCAAAAGGTGCTGCCGTACGAGCGTCGTCTTGACCACGTCGGCGAAGCCTCTGCTGCACGGCTGCAATGGACTTGACGACACGAGAAGGGCACTTGACGGTTGTGCCAACACTTTCAAAAGGCAAGGCTTTTGACATCGCCATCGCTCGAGTGTCCTCAAGCTCCGATCGCCACGACAGCGAGTTCGTACGACGAGCGATGCTGCGAGTAACGCGATGCAAACGTGAGGGATAGATGGGTTACCAAATGATGGACGATGTTGTCATGATCAGTCCATATAAATAATGTACGCTATAAGAGGAGCAATCTAGGCCGCACTGCACGACGATGGCCTCGACGACGACGACGACGACGACGACGACGGCACGGTCACGGGGGCGACGGACGGTTCGAGCTCGAAATCGTAAACGGGCTGTGCGATCGGCGTCCTGCCCGTCACGTAGACGCCGACTTCGTCGGTCGATGACATGGTGTCGCGGCCCTCTTCGATAAAGACGATGACGGGGACGCCCATGATGATGTTGGCTTCGAGCTTCTCTTGCTCGGTGCGGCAGAGGCGACCGCAGACCAAGAAGAAGATGGTGCCGAGTGCAATGGGCACGCAGATGAGGAGGCCAATGTAGAGAAACTTGCCGCTGTCTTGGCTGCCGAGGAGCTGGGCCGACGCCTCGTGGAGGAGCGCGGCGAGCACGAGTGCGGCTACCTGCATGCTTGTCCGCAAGAAGCCGAAAATGAAAAGTGAGATAAGCGAGCGATCTTCATACTAGTGGACGGCGGCGGAATATTCGCACGGCGCACAGCGGCCGCGTGCCACATCGCTTTCGAGCGCGTGTCGAATCTTCTCACTGTTTATGACGCCACGTCAGAAGGGCGACGCCAGCTGGGCCACTGGGCACATTGAGACAGACGACACACAGTTGCCGTCGAGTCGTCCGACCTGCCGAGCCTCCTCCAGACCGAACTCCAGTCGCCAAGCAGACACGCTCAGTGCCTTGCATGCTCGGCGGGGAAGGCGAGCACTTCCGTCGCGCCGGATACCAGTAAGCTCGAGGACGAGGGTTGGGGTTCGATCTCGGTCGAAAAGAGACACGGCGGCGGGTGGCTGGCGTGGACGAGGCCAGGAAGGCGCCGCTGGTAAGCGAAATCCGCGACAGGGCGCGCGTGGGACACTTTAACGTGGTCCCGACCTGCGTTTTATTGGTCCGCGCCGCAAATAACCCACATTTCGCGGAAATCCAGTACGGGATTCCACGCCGTGTCGCGGCGTCCGTTCCCCACGAAGGTTTTCTCTCACTGGGACCTCGACTGGCTTGCTACTATGGCTCAAGGTACCGTGCTATACACTGGAACGCGTAGAGGCACGTGAAGATCTGATATGATATCCAATATATCTCGACAACGTGTGCCTTGCCGTCCGCCATATTTCCATCCCAATTTGACGCAAGGGGATGTACTACGGCCACATTACATGAGCACGCAGCTGCTCTCGTTGTTGGCACTTGCATCGGCTTTTTCCTCGGCCGAATCGTCCATTTGCGCCGCCTTCTTCTTCTTCTCAACGGCGCTGCGCAGCGCGTCAACGTCGTGCATGGAGAGGACGCTGCTGTTGCGCAAGACGACCGTCTCGGTCGTACCGGCCACGAGCGACGGGATGTCGACACTCATCTTGGCTTCCTCGGCCGCCTCGTTGAGGCCGAGGAGACCGGCCATGGACGCGTTCACAAAGCCGGGCGCTGTCTTGAGCATCGCGTTCATCGCTTCGAGGCCGCGCGTGAGCCAGAGGAGGTCCGAGACTAATGGCGTGCTCGGCTCGCCGTGGCGGAAGAGCATTGGCGTCGGGTACATGCCACGCGCAATGCGGCAGCCGTGCCTACATTTGTCGTTGATGATACCTTGATACGTAGTCGAGTGGGTGACGCGTACGTGTCGATCGCGTCGAGGTCGTCAAACGGCATGGACGTGACGCCGCCGAAAAAGACAGAGAGCTCGCGCGCGCCCCAGTTGTGCGCCTTCTTGCCGTCCGTGCTGGCGGCCGCGGTTTTCATGTCGACGCAGTTGACCTTGTGGTCCTTCCAGTGGCTTCGCTACACCATTATGTCCCCGTTTAGATAAATGTATCAATGTATCAAGTCCGCGCACCTGGCACGTCGCGTCGCAGTAAAAGACGCACTGGCAGCGCGTGCAGCGCTTGAGGTCGGTCCCCGCCGGCGCCTTCTTGTCGCACGCCGCGCACCGACGCAAACTCGGATTCTCCATCAGAGCGAGCGTTTGGCCTACCATAGAATATGTCACTCGATCCCACTGGACAAGAGACAACGGTACCGGGCGGCAACACGCGGCGCTGGAGGTCCGTGCGCGTAAAAACAAAGCGAGCCCTAGTCCACAAAACTCAGAAAGGATGGTGGAAGCGGTCGCGATGCACCCTTGAGACTCTCTTCGTTCGGATCCTCCGTGTGGCCGAGCACCGAGACGTAGACCGACCCGCCGTGCACCTACGGGAGCGTTTTTTGTGCGGCAAAAGATGAAGTCGGCAGGCGACGCACCGATGCGTTGGGCTTGGAGCTCAGCGAGAGCGATGCCGTGGCATCGATCTGGATCGATTGCCGCTCGACGAGCTTGCGCCACGGCGAGAGATCGACAAACGTCGCACAGGCCTCATACCACGCCTTGATCGCGTCGGCAGGCAGCGGAAGCCCCGGCTTCTCGCTCACCGAGCCAATGGACGCAAGGTCCTTGCGCACCAAGTGGCCCGAGAGCTCGCTACCGGAAACATGAGATGCGTTCTTTGATCGTAGAGGCGGCCACGTACGAAATGCACGCGTCGATACCGTCCGACTCGGTGAGGAACGTGCACTCGATGCCAAGGGCCGCGTACGAGAGCCGGAGCTGGCCCACGAGCGCCTTGTCGGCAAACACAATCTTGTCCGGTCGGTGCTGCGGAATCTTGGACGGCGGGTCCGCCATCGCGTTGAGCGAGAGCTCGAGGATCTCGCGCGCCGACGGGTAGACCTCGGGCGGGTCGCAGATCTTCTTCGAGACCACCTATGTCGCAGGCTCGGACGATGCCATCTTGAAGAAACAACAGTACCTGGCCGAGCGGGTAGATGTTGTTGACGAGGATCGCGTACGGGCGGCACGGAATCGCATCATCGCCCTCCTCGGCCCCCTGGCTCGACGCCGACCACACGCGCAGCTTGCGCACGACAATCTGCCAAATCTCTTGCTTGGTCTGGTCGAGCTTCTTGAACTTTTCGAGCTGCTCGCGCGACAGCAGCATCTGATCGACGATCTCAATATCGGCTACGAGGTCGCGCCATGAGGCCACGCATGCGCCATGGTCATCGTACCGTCGCCCGAGTGGTCGTACTGGGTCTGGGCGTGGACAGGCACGGCCGTGTCATCGTCGTCGTCGTCCTAGCCATCGTTCCGCCCATGAGGCCCACGCCCTGCCTGCGCTTGCGGGCCATGGCATGCATCGTACCTTGAAGTTGTCCCATTTCTGGTACTTCTTGGAGAGGAACTCGTTCTCGAGGTGGGCCATCGCGCTGCCTGACGTCAAATGCTGTCAACTTCGAGACAATTCCGTGCCGTCTCTCTTCTTTGATATTTCAAGGCATGCATTTTGACAGGTTTAGAAACGGACCAATCATGGCGCGCGTACGCGTATCTTGCACGAAACGACGCGATGACCAAGGACGACGTGGCCGTGACGCCGAGCTGGAGTCGGCGCAGCGTCGGCGTCTTCCTCGAGTCGCCCGAAGCGCAGCTCGTCATGATCGCACTCATCACGCTGGACGTCGTGTCGGCGCTTCTCAGCGCGTACCTCGATCTCGGCGCGGCGCTCGGGGCGTCGGCCGTCGTCGCCAACCGTGTCCTGCAGTCCCTCTCCGGGTTTACCCAAGTCGCGTTTCTACTCGAAATGGCAGCGCTTGTGGCGGTATTCGAACTCGCATTCTTCTCGCACCTGGGCTACTGCGTTGACATGGGCGTTGTCGTGTTCGCCGTCTCCTATGAGCTCCACTACGCGTCCGCAGGTATGTTGTTCGATGCGCCAAGTGCTTGATCTCTACATAGTCATGCGTGTGCTGGGATGTCTGCGGTACTGGCGGGTGTGTCGCTTCGTGTGGACACTGCTGGCGAACGAAGCCGCCAAGACCGAGGCGGTCGCAGCGCAGCTCGACGCGGAGAAGCAGGTGCACCCTGGTTGATGCAAATCTGCATGCTGGGTGACGACCACTATCACGTAGAAAACCCAGCAGCTCGAGCTCATGGGCCGACAGCTTCAAGAGTCGCTTTCCAAGGAGCACAGTGCGACTGCTCAGCTCAACCGCACGCTGCAAGACTACCAGGACGAGATCGATACGCTCAAGGAAGCGCTGACCATCGCCGCCACGGCCATGGCCCGCCAAGCCCAAAATGAACTGGACGAGGCCGAAAGTGACGACGACGACGACGACGATGATACTGCCAGTGCCCTTCGCAGTCCTCGCCTCACCACCGACGACTTGAGTGAGTTCCAGGACGCTTCGCCATGACAAGCTATCGACGAAGATGGCGCGCTTCGAGAAGACACCTCAGGAATCTCAAGTCAATTAACATGAGACGTTTCAAAGCAGATATAAAGGACACTTGGCCTTGTTGATTGGGCCACAAAGGCTGCCAACGGTTTCCGTTGAGCCGGTAAGGTCGACAGGGCCAATCGTGCGCCAGCGTAGCCAAGATGGCGTCTGCGGTTGGCAGTACGGGCCGCGAGCATTTTGTGATTCCAAGGTCCACAAGTGAATGGCCAAGCCAGCGACGTCCGGCCTTTCGTCTCCCACCCCCCTTCGAGGTCGGTCGCCCCCCCAAGTGCAACAACCGCCGCCGCTGCCAACAACAACAAGGACCTCGCCGACGCGCCGGTGCCTGACTTGGCGACGACTACGATAGGCGGCGATATGCTCAACAAGATGGGTACGACGCTCCATCACCTGTATGAATCCTTCTCTCATGCATGATAATGGGCAGTCCACATTCGCACGGGCCCACGAAAAAACTCCAGCAACATCGAGACGACGACGACGCGGCTTCCGAGCAACCGCCTCTTCTCGCGGGCAACTCGTCAGCAACCGCGCGAGCCGCCGCGGTTGCAGCCGCTCTCGAACCAAAACAGTATTGCGCCAGCCCCCGACGCGGACGAACGCTCCAAGAAGTCGAGCACCGAGGATTCGGAGAACGACGACGACGGCAATGCGTCGACGGTGCAGCTACCACCCGCATCGTCGACGTACACGTCGTATCCCGGTGGTGCCAAAGACATCAAGCCCCGTATGGAGGACACGCGGCTCGACGCGCTCTCGATTTCGGCGCGGCTCGCGACCGCCGGCATCACAACATCGTCGTCGAACTCGATCGTGATGAAGGAGCGGAGCAGCGCGACAAAGGGTCTCGTCGGTCTCCAGAACCTCGGCAACACGTGGTATGGCGTCCATATCTTGCCTTGCGAGTTGCTGGAAAATGGTTGTGGCGTAGCTTTATGAACAGTTGTCTCCAGTGCCTTAGCAACGTTCCGCTTGTGATGCGGTATTTCCGCATGGGCCAGCACCTCCAAGAACTCAACGAGGCGAGTCCGACCCAAGGCAAACTCGCATGGTACAATACCTCTCAAGGGTCCGTGCTCATATGTGCAGTGTGTTTGGCGACCTCACGCAAGTGCTGTGGCAGCAAGCCGAGTTCAGTTCAACGCGCCCCGTCGAGCTGAAGCGGGTCGTTGGAAAGCTGGCGTCGCGCTTCATTGGGTACGTTGACGCCTGTCGTCGTCTCTTCTCAAACCAGCCCAGGTACGAGCAGCACGACGCACAAGAATTTCTTCGCTTCCTCGTCGACGGCCTCCACGAAGACCTCAACCGCATCAAGAAAAAACCAGCGTACTATGAAATCCCAGGCACGTACGCTCCGAATGTGTTCGACAACTAGACGGACGCGCTTGTAGATCGACCGAGCGCGACCGACAAGGACGTCTCGGAAGAGTACTGGCAATTCTACGTGCAGCGCAACGTCAGCGCGCTCTCGGAGCAATTCTGCGGCCAATTACGGTCCGAAGTCACGTGCCAAACGTGCCAGCACCGGTCCGTGTGCTTTGACGTCTTCTGGGATCTCTCGGTGGGTCTATCTCAATGTCTCATGTACTCATATATTCAAGTAGATTCCCGTGCCCAAGAAGGGCAAGAGCTTGGCGTCTCGCTTCAGCGCGGCTAGAACCGACGACGACAATGGCGTGCCCGTCGAAGACTGTCTGCGGGCGTACACGGAGGAAGAACACATCAAGGAAGACGACGCATTCTACTGCGCCAAGTGCAAGACGCACCGGTCTGTCGTCAAGAAGATCAACCTCCAGCGGTGCGTCCTGGTACGATGCCGACGCCGCATGCTCATGGACATATAGGTGCCCGCACGTGCTCGTGCTGCATTTGAAGCGCTTCTCGTACTCGACGTTCAGCCGCGATAAGATCTCGACGCCCATCAAGTTTCCCGCCGACGGTCTCAACCTCAAAGAGTTTTGCAGCAAAGACAATCTGCGTACGCTGCTGTCGACATGGCGTCGCCATGAGCTCATCAATTGCGTAGACTACGACAAGAGCTGGGACTATGATCTGATTGGCGTCATCCACCACATGGGCTCGCTCAACGGCGGCCACTACACAGCGTACTCCGTCCTTTCTGCGCTCGTCCGACCTCATGGTTCTGTGTAGCGAATGCCGCAACCCCGAGAACGACCAGTGGTATGACTTCAACGACGAGACCGTCTCCGGGATCAAGAAGCCGCACGTCTCGAGCGGCACGGCCTACATCCTCTTCTACCAGCGCCGCGGCGCACACGGGTAAACGAGACGATGCTTTTTAAGTTAAGTAATAGACGACGATCATTCGCGCGTCGCATTGGCCGTGGTCGCAAGCGGTCCCTCTTGGCGCAATTGACGGTCGTTGCCAGCGACGCTCATCTCGTGCCGAAACGCAGTCGTCCACCCTAGTCCATCGTCCGTGAGAAGTCGACGACACGCGCCGAGCGTACCAAAGTCGCCCGACTCTTCTGGCGACAGCATCTGGTACGAGCACCAGAGCACGCTCGTTCCCAGCAGGACGGAGAGCGTCACGGCCACTAGGGCAATGTGGGCGCGCATGCCAAGATGTTTTTCGAACTGCGCCCATGTGCAAGTGCACTTTGGCCGGATACCACATTTGTATCCGAACAAAGAAGATCGGCAACTTCAAGTGGTCCGTTGATATGGAGATATGGATGCCAGGCTCGCGGGATGCAGGTGTAGGTGGCGTCAGGATCGTCCAAGTGGCAATGGCATGAACGGCTCTGGAGTCTGCGACGACCAACAACTCGTTCTGATATACGATGTAGTACGTCGCACGATCTGGCGACCGCAGGGTTGTGCTCGCGTGTGAGAACCGACGACGGCGATTATAAGGTATTTTGGTTCGTGCCCGAGCGCTGCAAGGTCTCGGAGAGGGTGAGCGCGCACTAGGTCGTTTATAAGGACGTCTGTGGAAGGTGGCGAGATTGCTGTTCGAATCGGACCGAAAATTGAAAATCGGTGATAAAAGAGCCAGGAGAGGGTCGCTTGGTCTCTCTTTCGTGGGTGATGTGCACGAGCGACGCAGAGAGCGGGCGTAAATGAAGGCGAGCCTTCGGCGTCGCGGTGTCGTGGAGCCGTGGCGTGAAGCAAAGACAGACTAGCGGTGTGGGCGGTGGCCGCGTCTTCGATTGGCTAAAATTTAAATCGAGCAATTCAAAATTCCATATTTTGGATTCCAGCGTTTGGATTGGTCGACACAGTTCCTTGCGCAGCGATTGGCCAAAATGGAGGGCCGCCAACCAGTCCTCCGGCTTCGAACTCGCTACGATTGGTTGAAATTAAAGTTCGGGGAAGGGGTAGGGCTCCCCATTTAAGCTTGGTTTTTGTATGGAAGTCACTGAACTCGCACGGGGGCCTAAGGTTGGTCAAAATTCCAAGGATATCACAAGATATTGTATCGGCGCTTCGGACGAGCGCGGAGCGCATGGCAACCAAGATGATGGACGACCCGCTGAAGAAGAAGCGGAAGATCCGCACGAAGGGCCTCGATGGCAACGACATGGATGACCACACGGACGAGATTGACCGCGGCGAAGAGTCGGACGGCCGCGACGACAAGAAGAAGGAGCTCAAGAAGATGGACCCGAAAGAGAAGGAGCAGCTGACGATGCCGATGGCCGCGATGGGCATGATGTTCCCGATGACGATGATGATGCCCATGATGCTGCCGTTTGCACAGCCTGGCGCGACGGACGAGCTCCCAAAGAAGAAGAAGCGCGGTCGTCCGTCCAAGAAGATGCTCGCCGCCGCCCAGCAAGCGTCCGCGATCCAGGCGCAGCTCAGCGACGCGCAGCTCCAGGTACCTGTGTGGCCATTCGGCATGCCGCTTCTTCCGGTCGGCTTCAAGTTCCCAGTGAACAACCCGTCGACACCGCCTGTCGTCATGGTCGCGCCCAACGGAAAGACGAAGGAAGATGCGCTGGCCAAGACGGACGCGCTCGAGGACCACGACGACGACCACCACGCGCGTCGGTCGTCGATCACGGACGGGTCGATCTCGCCCGACGACAAGAGCAAGATGCCGGCGTCGCTCGCGGACGAGCTCAAGAAAAAGGTGCGCAACAGCACGGGCAAGCCGCGCGGCCGCCCGCGCACTCGCCCGCGCCCCGGCGACATGATTGCCCGGCCCAAGATCATCAACATTGCTCCGGCCGTCAACTACGAGCCGCTGCAGGGACACATCGGCCACAAGAGCGACGACTCGGATGCCAAGGCAGAGAGCGGCGACGAAGACCACGACGACCACGTCGGGGGGTTGCCCCACTCCAAGACCGACGAGGTCCCTGTCGTCGTTTAAGCGTGCGAGGTCGTCCACGGACCAGCGTTAATTTTATGAAACACACCACCCACCCCCTCTCAGATACACCTCACCCACCACCTCTTATGGATGCGCCGTCGTCTTCCGTCTTCCTGGGCGCCAAAGCTTCCGCCGCCGCATTGGCTAAAAGTCGAAGCATTTGACGCGTGTTTCTGCCAGTGGTAACAGAGCGCAACAAACGCTCGCGCCGCTTTTCAACCAATCCGGGTGCTTTAACAGCTTGAAGGTGCATCCGATTGGCTGAAATGAAATAGCATGAACTGGACATCGACCTTGCTTGAGGTGACTCTCATGTACCAGCGCCGAGCCATGATGGCGAGCGAGCAAGCCCGTACTAAAAGGTCATGCGTTGCGTGGATGGTCAATCCGTCCCAGCACTACCGATTAGGAGTAACATAAATGGCTGGCTGGTTGAAGCAGGCCGAGGTTCAGCTGTCTGCGGTTGAAGCCATACCGAGATACTTCTGCCCGCGCTTGTAGGCCAGCGTAGGCTCGCGAGCTGGAGCTGTGCGTTGGCATTGATGTAGTCACTGATGGTCAAATGTTGTGCCAAGTGCACGGGTGCCTTGCGCAACCTGCAAGCGTTGCCAGTGTCTTGAAGCGCGGCCCCTCTGACGCTGGGATACACAAGAAAGCTCGACGATAATAGCGGACCTGTTCCTGTCCGAGTTATTAGTATGCTTCCTCATAGCCGCCGTCGCTTTCGTTATCGTCCGAGCCGTAATAGTCTTGCTGGTAGTCGTCAATTTCCTCGTCGCCCTACACACGCAGCATGCCATCATCACACATCCCTGCATTCTCAGCAGTGCCGTACCATGTCTTCGTCTTCGTCGGCCTCCTCTTCTTCGTCGAGAGCCTCCGGCTTGGCCTTGCCTTCCTTTTGCTCGAGCGACTTGAGCGTCTGCTCGAACGCGCGCGGGCGCAAGATCGCAGCACGCCCGTCCGTGCTCGTAAGTAGCTCGTGGCTCATGCTCTCGTTGATCTCGCGCGGTACATAGCACACCAGCGGGTCTTCCATGGCCATCTACGCAGCGCCATCGGATGCGACTCGCTGCAAAATGCGGCTAATACCTCGGGCACGGTCACGTGCACCATCTCGGCGTCGTCGCTGGCGTCTGTCTTTTGGTGTGCAGACGGGTACAGATTGACCATGCGGTCAGCGACAATGCGCATCTTGTGCACTAAATACTTGTCCGAGTCGGTAAGCGGCGCGGGCGCGGGCAGCTTGATGGGCGGAAAGAGCGGTGTGTTCTCGCCCTACACGCATCGCATGAGGTCTTCCATACGTCGCAGGATGATCCTACGTTGAGTGACATCATCTGCGTGTGCGAGATGCCCAGCTCTTCCATGGTGCCACCGACGATGTCGGCGACGCTGATGCCACGGCCGCCAAAGCCACCGCCGCCACCGCGGCCGCGCCCTCGTCCACGGAATGCCATCGCAAATTTCAAGTCCGAGATACAAATGGCAATTGGGTCGTTTTCTATTGACCAATCAACTCGTTCCTTCGGACGTGGCACATGCCGAAATTAAAATGGCTACTCGCACGCAACTACAACTCCCTTCGTGCATCGTACGACGGGGCTTGCTTTGATTTGATCGCGTGCATCCAATTCATTCCCTTCTTGGACGCAGGTCGTGACTCAACCGGTGGGTGCAGCAATAACGCAGTACGCGCTGGACTACAATCATAACACTAGGTATTATATATTCGGATCCATCATCGGAGGTTCGTCTTTTCGTCTAAGCGGCAGTTGCCGCACCAAGTTGTCTATAGTATCATACACGCTTGGCCTTCTTCTTCGCCTCGAGCGCCCGCTGAAATTGGTTGGTCGCGCCCTCGTTGGCCGCAAACTCCTTGCGCTTCTTGACCTTCTTGATCTTGCCGAGGTCGAGCGTTTGGTCCCAGAGGTCGAGACCGACCTTCTTCTTGTGCTTGAAGACTTCTTGGTTGAGCAGCCGGACCTTCTTGTTGTGCTCTGTCTGCAGCGCGATGCTCTGCGCGTCGAGCGGTGTCGCGTCCTTGACGGCGTCGTCGTTCCACTGGGGCACGTCGGCGCCAAAGAGACTGTTCTTGTTGAGGCTCTTGGGGTTGATTGCGATCGGCTCGACCACCGGCTTGCGCGCAACGACGACCGCCGCGTCGACATTGGCCGGCGCCTTGGGCGTGCGCCGGGGCACCACGAACCGCTTCCACGGGGCACCGAAACGCGACACGTGTCCGATGCGGCCCGTAAAGGTAGGTGCAAAGGCCATCGGCGTTGCGACGGTCTTGAGCGAGACGCCCTTCACCAGCTCGGGCTCGTTCTCGACCACGGTACGCTCGTCATCGTCCTCGCTGACGCTCTCTTCGGACGTCACGTCGTCGTCCTTTTCAGCAACAGCCTTGGTCGGGAGCGGCTCGTCAACGACGGCGTCGGTGTCGGCGTCGGTGCCACGACCACCGGCGGCTCGGGCGCCGGCGCCTTGGGCACCACGTCCCGCGTATAGAAGAGCATGTAGGCGCGCTGGGAGAGCACGGTCTGGAGCTGCACCATGCGGACGCTCTCGTCGTTCATTTCAAACCACTGGCCGGCAGGGCTCTTGACAAACGCGTAGTAGTGGCCGCAGTCGGGCGACATGCCCGAGTGCACGAGGACGCCCGTGAGCTTGTAGCGCGCGAGCTTCTTCTCGGCGCACTTGGCGCTCAGGACCGACCCGCCGAGGTTGAGGTCGAGGACGTCGTCGAACGCAATGTGTTTTTTGAGTTTACCGCGAAAGACGTCAAAGCGCTTGAGATGGAGCACGAGGGCGTTCGGAACGCTGTGGATTGAGAGGCCCTTGCTGGCGCGGCTGCGCTGGCTGCAGCCCGAACACTTCCACGCGTTCTCTGTATCCAGCGTTTCAACCGCTGTAAAGTGCCGCAGCGCATTTGCAATCGTCGAGATGCCGGACGAAATCTCGAGCGAGAGGTCGAGGAACGGCTCGAGGCGCTCCGAGACGTACTTGCATTTGGCGCATTGCACGTACGAGCGCAACGAGCCGCCAAAGACAGAGCGCACAAGCGTCGAGAGAGACATGGGCGAGTTGTCGTCCTTGAGACCCGCGGCCTTGAGCGCCTGCTTGTGCATCGCATCGAGGAGGTGTCGGAAGAACTCGTGCGAGTCTTCTTGCCGGCCAATGCGGAAGAACTTTGCAATCTGCTTGAGGTTCACGACGAGCTCGCGCGGCTGGACGACGCGCGGTGCATTCGACGCGTGCATCTGCGCAATGAGGCGGGCCATGACCTTTTCGGCCGCAAAGCCCGACTTGAGCTGCGGCATCGCTTTCGCCGTCGCGCGTGGCAGCAAATACTGGACGAGCGCCGGCGAGTAGAGGAGACACTGCAGCACCGAGTTGAGGTAGCACGTGTTGCCGAGGTTCGAGAGACCGGGCCCGATCTTGCGCGGGACCTTCCACTTGACGAGGCGGTGGATCTCATGCACGTCAATGAGCGAGCTGCTCTTGGCTTTCGCACCCTTGGCCGCCTTGTCGCCGGCCACGACGACCGCGGCGCCGGCGTTGGCGGCCTTGCGCGCCCGGCGAAACTCGATCCGCCGCTCCTTGACCAGCATCGCCGCGGTCTTGAGCTGCACCGTCGTCCCGGTCGCAAGCATCATCGTGGTGGTCGGGTCGTCGGCCAAAAAAGCACCAATACGACGCCAGCAACGGGCGCCGTATGCGGATCCGGATACACGAATCCCGAACGACTGGTGTGCACCATCGAGGTGCTCGCAGTGGCTCGACGCTGTCTGCCGCGCCGACAGCGTGCGATGTGCTGCATTTAGGTATGTTAATATAGGGCAAAAGCAACCTCAATGGCTCTCGCTTGCAACGCGAATGGCCGCGCCGCTCGATGCGAGCGCGGCAGGCAAAGATACTGGAACCACTGGCTGCACCAGATGGCGATAGCCAGTGTTTTCGTGGCAGTTTCACCTAAAACACTGTCTTAAACACGATGTGAAACAGAATGTCAATCCGCTTCAACCAGTACTTGATGCTTCGTTCGAGAGCGACTGCTGCGTCATCGGCTGCGCTTTGAGCGCCTCGTAAGCCTTGTGTGTCTGGAGCTCTGCGGCTGCGACCAAGTCTTGCGGTGCCGGTGCGGTGCCAAGCGGCTTTGACCGGTGCCTCAGCCCTCGCCGCGACTGGTGCCTTGAATCTCGCCGTTGCACGGTCGCAGCACGACACCGACGTCAAGCGACTATAAGCTAGCCTGGACGAGGCATAAGAAGTGGCTTTGCCCGGCGCCTTGCAGCATGACGAAAACGTCAAGGAGCTTCAGGCGAGCCTGCGAGAGGCACAACAAGTGGCGGTGCCTCCGACCTCGCCGCTGCACAGTTTGTGTGCGTAGTGTGCCTCTCGCAGGCTCGCCTGAAGCTCCTTGACGTTTTCGTCGTGCTACGAGGCGCCGGGAAAAGCCGCTTCTTGTGCCTCGTCCAGGCTAGCTTATAGTCGCTTGACGTCGGTGTCGTGCTGCGATCGTGCTGCGGTAAACTCTGAGGCACCGGCCACAGCCGCATGCTCTAAAGCTTCAAGTGATGCTTCGAGATGTCCAAACGCATCCTGTGAGGCTTAAAGTTGAGCTCCAAGCGTCTCGAGATCCGCCCCGTGCTGGGCACGGGCAAGGACAAGCTCCGAGGTGCGAGTCATGGCCGTATCCTGCGACGCTTCGAGGCTGGCTTGGAGGTTGACGACCTGCGCTTCGAGTGTAGCAGCTTCCGAACGCAGCTCACCGAGGATCGCCTCGGAGATGGCCGTCGATGTCGCGCTGACAGACAATCGTCGGCACGCAAACCTTGGTTCGTGGCCACCGTCGGGCTCGGCGTACGCATGAGGGCATCTTGGGCCGCCAACTTGGCATCGGCGAGCTTTGCAGCACGCTTTTGGTGGTAGAGAGGGTCGTAGAGGGACATGCGATTTCGCTTTCTGAGGCATCGAGATCACTCGCGCCGCCGAGGGCTGCAAAGGCGTTCAAGCCATCGCTGCGCTGCGTGTACTTGGTGTTTGTATCGCAGGCTGGAGAAGCGTGACTTGCGACGCTGCGCCCTGACAAAGGCGTACGAGGCTTTTGTACTCTCCGCGGCTGCATCGCTCGGGTCGAGCTGGATGCCACGCTCGGCCTGGCCGGCTCCAAAAGCCAATGGCGTCTGAAAAGATCTGAAGGGCGTTAATTACCCGCATAGAAAGTATTTTCATACTAGAATAGATTGTGAAGTGTTGATATCTTCATGACGTGGCATCATGCTGTGAATATGTGCCAAGCCTGCTTTGTCAGACAGAGGCACGAGAGGCGACAGTGTAACTCTCTTTATCAGCGCGCCAGAGATGACACGCGCGCACGAAGCGCCGTGAAGGAGCCTCTAGCGCGCCCTTCCATGTCCCACTGGGTGAGCATGGTGGGTGCTTCCATGGACAACGTTGGCAGCCGGTGCTCTCGTCGTGTGTATGACTCCTTCGGTATGCAGCGTTGGAGGAGCTCTCGTCTCTAGCATTAATGTAGACCTCGCACACTGGTATTTCTAGCTACATTCCCTAGTGCTCTCGATGGAAGACCTTGGCGTCATCATTGCACCATCCTCTATGCCGGTGGCAACCAATGGCCATATCATGTACTAGTACACGCTTGTATTACAAAAGATCAAACGACTTGTGTGCGGCGCAGACTCGTCGGCAAATGCCCTTTCCATTCTGGCGACCCAGCGACTATTCCCGTCGCTTCATGGCATCCCGATTGACGCTCGAACGATCGCATCGCGGTTGGCCTTCGTCGCCGCCGCGGCCGCCTGCGCCTCGCTTTCGCTGATGGCGCTGCAGCCAAGAAACGCAACGACCATATCGAAGATGTCGGGCAAGAGGCTTTCGAGCCACGTGCCATGCAGCGACGCTTGTAGCGCGCCTTGTTGCTGCGGGAAGACGTCGGCCGTCGTGAGAATACCGCCCGTGCGATCCGAGACAAAGTCCCATGCGACCAGTTTGAGGCCGCTGGGCTGCGTCGCATCGAGCGCGCGGAGGCGCAACCGATGCGCAACCGATGACGCGAGGAGCACGACGCGACCTTGGTACACGGGCAGACGATCGGTCACTTGCGAATTCCATTGTGGGCGGGGTTTCTTGAGGAAGATCTAGTGCGTGCGTCGCTTCTCCACCGAAAAAGAGACAAACCAAGTTGTACCTCCTCCTGCGTCGCGCTGTCGATCTCGGTGCACACGCTCGCAAACGTCTCGAGACACTCGAGCTGCGCCTCGACATTCGTCACGTCGTAAAAGACGAGCGCCGTGAACCTCGCGGCTTCGTTTATCGCACCCGAGCCCCGCCGCCACGCCGTCGTGCTGGTCGCCGCCGACGCTCTGTAGGCCGTGACGTGGCAGATCCCTTGGTGCGTCGGCTCGGCGGTCGTGACGAATGGCGACGGCCACGGTCGGCTCGACATGCGAACGCTTTCTCTTGGGTACGACGGGTGCTGGAGCTTCAACGACTTGATGAAAGCATCGAGTTCGGCGGCCGACACCGTCGCGTTTTGGGGAAGGCCGCGCTGCTTGCGATACATCTTGCGCAGTGTCTTGGTCGAGGTCAGATCGCGCGTGAGCCGGTGCGGCGAGTAATCGTCGCAGTCAAGGCCAAGCGCCACGTCCAGGAGAGGCAGCACCACCCGAAGCGAGTCGGTCAGCGCTTCGTACGCGGCCTCGTTGGACGCGGGCACGTTGTTGATGTAGCTCTCGAGCGTCACGCTCTCGGTTGTGTTGTCCCACAATATCGGCGTCGGCAGCATCTGGAGCACGGGGCAGGTCACGCCGCGCAGCGCCGACTCGGTCACAAGCGAGAGACCGACGATGCTCGGGGCCGAGTCCACTCGAAAGCGGTGCTGGCGTGGCGCAAAGCGCGTCCGGCCGTAAATGGCCCCGTACAGCGCCGGATCGACGATCTCGAGAACGTCGTCGCGCCAGGTGGCCGTCGCTTCGAGGGGCGATAGCGACGTCTGCAGCGCACTTGGCAACGTCGACGCCACATCGACAAAGTACACGCGGCGCGCCATCGCGCGGCGCACGCCTCGCATGTGTGCGTGGTCGTTGCGCACTTGGTCTAGCTCGGCATGGAGGAGCGCGATGCCAGGCGGCGGCAACGTCGACGGCGATGGCCATGGCGGCGACGGTGTCCAGTGGCGCGCACTGACAACGCTGCCGAGAACGGCCAAGTACGCGAGCTCAAGAGACGCGTACGCGATCGCGTGGCCGGGCGCCCAGCCCATGTCGGCGACAAAGGTCGAGTACTCTCTGACCTCACAGCTCGGCTGCCAGAACAAAGCCTCGCTTGGAAGGCACGGCGTCGACGCCGGGAACGCGTCGACGAGAGCGCGAACGACGGGGCGCGACCCGCTCATAATACCTGCGTCCATGACCGAGTACCCTTCCTATACAGCCGATCAATCGGAAGGCAACGGGGTAGGTGTGGCATACGTGGCGCTCGGAGAGAGCAGATTTCGTGACGGGCGCCAATGCGCGCACGAGCAACGCGGCGTTGCGGTGCTCGAATGGCCGACACGTGATGGCAAACAATGGCGTCTGCCCGTTCTAATACAGTACATGGGCAACTGAAGATCACAGTGGCGCCGCGTCCATCGCCGAGCTACCTGATTGGGGATGTCAGGGTCCGCACCCAATGCGACCAAGAGCGGAATGTAGGCCGCCTTGGAGGCATACTGGCAGTACGCATCGGCTGTGAGGTCTGTTTTCGCGGCCAGGACCGCGACGTTGGAGAGACTCGCGTTTTGGAGGGCGAGAATGAGCGCTTGGGCATAGTACTACAAGCCTCGGCTCAGTGCTTTCTCTCATCCGGACGCTACCTCGGACGACTGCGCACTGCCATTGGCCAGAAGCAGCTCGAGCGTCGGCGTGTCGATGTTCTTCTCCAAAGCGAATTGAAGTGCCGTCGATCCGTCCTAGCAATATGCTACTGTCGCATGCGATCGCCCAGCCGTGGATACAGTACATACCTCGCCGCGGAAGTGGACGTCTGCATACGGCGCCAAGATGCGCACCGAGTCGATTTGATCCATCTCGAAGGCGCGGGCGAGGAGAGTGCCGTCCGATTTCGGCTACAACTCATGCCCGTCGACCTCGTCCATAGAGGTCACCAACTACCGCAGCGATCGCGTTCGGGTTGCCACCACGCGCCACATAGAGTTGCAGCACGCGCGGGAGGTACACAAAGCTGGCAAGGCCCTAAGTGAAGACATGCGTGTCTACCCATGTCTCCCAAAGCGCTTGCACACGTACATAGTCGATCAACTCGTCGTTGGAGACACCATTCGCAACGACGAGGTGGGCGCGGTTGTCGTCGTTCAAGTAATGTGACTGGTCGACCCATCTAGCACACGATCGTCCAAGGTACGATGTTGGGATATCGTTGGTTGTACCCAGTTGGGCTTGCAGACGTCGGCCCCGGCGCGGACAAGCGCCGTCAGCAGCGGCGCAATATCGACGCTCGGCGGGCACTGCGACAAGCCCTCGAGAGGCAATCGCTCGTTCTACGTCAATGTACGTAGTAGAGGTCGAGAAAAGTCAAGATGCTGGGTACGCAGTTGGGGTCGGCGCCGGCGTCGAGCAAGCGCAACACCACGGCGTCGAGCCCGAGCGTGCACGCATAGTAGAGCGGACCACAGTCGTCCTAGCGCGATCGTGTCTTCATTTCTCAAGAGCTTGCAGCGTACTTTGGCTCTCAAATGGACGCTGGCGCCGTGTTCGATCAGGTGCAAGGCCATTTCGCGTCGACCGAGCTTGGTGGCGACAATGAGCGCCGTCTCGCCCGCCTGCGACGCGGTCGATAGTTCAGATGCTGCTCGAGCCTCACAGACGTACCTCGTTGCATGCGTCGAGATGTGGCATCGCCGACACCAAGACCGCTGTGGCATGGTCGTGGCCATGCAGGACAGCCAAGTGGAGAGCATTGTTGTCGTGCTATGGATACATATTGGCATTTTGGAAGCGATATATGGCTTCGCGCTGTCTACCTCGTCGCAGAGCGCGGCGACGTCGAGACCCTCACATACGTGCTGCAGAGAGCCGTCCGAGGCGGCCGCGAGGAGCGCCTAACGACGACCGCCTATGAATCGGCCTCGTCGGCGCCGGTGGCGTCACCTGCACGTTCGTCATGTCGAAATTCACACTGCACCACGACGAGCGTATACTCAAACCAAGTGTAAAACATATGGATTTCAGTTCCATTCGGTTTGCGCGAGGACGTCAAAGAGCAAACGCATGGAATTCCCTTGGTCTGCTGCTGTCTTGTACGCTGTCTCGTCAAGAGAGGAAGGCACCGAGTCGATCGCGGTAGCGCGACGATTGATCCTGTGAATCTGGAGCGTGGCATCCCAGTTTGGAGCACCGCCGTTCGATAAGAATGCAGAGAGAAGAATGTGCAATCAATCCTGGGTGTGTCCTTGGTGCTAGCCTCACGAGACAAGCAACACCACTTCTACATGAACCGAACAGTCACATCTGCGCTGTCTTGATGCACACGAGCCTCTATCTATCTATCTATCTATCTATCTATCTATCTATCTATCTATCTATCTATCTATCTATCTATCTATCTATCTATCTATCTATCTATCTACGGTATCGATCTATCTCAAAAATGACGTCTTTGGCGACGACAGAATGCTTGATGGTTCAGCGGCCCACCACGGCGGTCATAACACTGTCGAAATGCAAGTCTCGGTGCCCATCGAGACGAGGCGTGTTCGCCGTTGGGACGACCACCCCGTGACGTGTCGAAACCTTCTTTGGGATTTGCTCGTCGAGGCATTTCCGTCCCTCCCATGAAACTGAATGCAGAAAATGAGGTCATATGTATATTCCATTGTTGTCGGATTACCCTAAACGTCGTAGCTAAAGACACCACAAAATCGAGGGGTCGGGCGGCGTGCGTAGCGCATAGCTGCGCTGCGATGAAATTGCCGGACCAAGTGTGTCGTCGCTGGCCAACGTCGAGGACGTTTGCAGCTCGTACACGACAAACTCGGTCCGCTCCGTCGATCGCGGCAGGTCTTGGTTCAGATTGGTCAGGAGACTCAGACGCAGTCTCTCGGTGAGCTCTCCGTTGCAGTAGCAAAGCAGAAAACAGTCCGTTCCCCGCAAGCTAATCGTCGGGCAGCGCTTGAGCCGCGGGTTCACGTCCATCGCTTCGTAGATGCTGCCGCCGCGCGGCGAGTACCGCGGCGTGAGCCGCAATGCGGTCGCAAGTCGCAAGAGAACCGCGCCCTTCACGTTGTTGTACGCGCAGGCGCTATAGTCGACACTGCGACGGCGGTGACGGGCTACGCACTCGTAGTTAGTCGAAAACGACGAGAGACGACGGAGTGCACACCCGAAATCAAGCCTTGCGCGAGCGGCAAGCTGAGTGTGATGAGCGTAAAGGCAACGCACACGAGCGCGCCTTCAACCTCTTCGTTTTGGTGATCTGCCGGAACGAGGCAGTAGAACAGCCACTGGTAGAAGCGCACTAGGACGGCGACATGGCCGTTGAGATACATCAGGACCGGACCGCTGAGGGTCACGGCGATCGCCACGAGCGTTGGGTCGACTTCGGCAAAACAGTGTTCTTTCCGCCAGCGCTTGAGGCCGAAGGAGACGAGGCAGAGACCCCAGTACGCAAACCAAACCTACATCAAAGTAATCGTAATGCCATGAGCAGAAGCTCTTGGTACCGAGCGCGCGAGATATGTCATGCCGAGGAAGCGAGACGTCAGGTTGGTGGCGGACTGGACTTGCATCGTCGCAGTTCCGAAACTCGCAGTGCTCAACCAAATATCGAGGTAGTAGAGCGTCGCAACGATCGGATCCAATAGCACAATCGCGGTTGGGTCACCAAGGACGAGCTCATACGACCAGTTGCCACGCGGCATTTTGACGCGATGGCCGCTTTGGCGCACGAGCGATTTCAGCACAGCGCAGTGGCGGTAGTAGTGTGCATGGAGCCGATACCAGACCAAGAGCGTCGTGCAAATGCGAAATATGAAAATGAGCCAGACACCCAGTGGATCCCGCGCCGCTTCGTTGATAAAATACGGCGTCGCCACCTGCAGTGTCGCTGGTGGGTCTGAGAGGGCGTCGCCGGGCTCGAGCCAGAGACACGTCCGGCCAAAGGTAAACGAACACAAGCGAGATTGAAAGTACGAGCCTTCGCGGTGCTGCATCGTCGCATTGGGCGAGGTGAGAATGCGGCAGACCAGATCGATTTGGGACGAGGTAAAGTAAATGAGGCCACGCAGTCCTAAGAGAAGGGCCGAGAGACACTCGTTCGTGGTCATTAAGTAGATAGTTCCCATCGGCAGCGTCAACTTCGAGTAGTGCTGCTAGTAGTACCTGGCGAGATACGCAGTATTGAATGCCGTGTAGTTGGCAAACGTCTCGGGAGGACGGAACGAGCCTTGCCACGGAAGTGGCTCGGAAAGGTACGCGGCCAGCGGCTACATCGCAGTGTGCATCCAGAGGAGAGAACGACAGTCAAGATCCTACCATGGAGGAGACGTTGCAGCGTGAGGCGAGGCTCACAAAGAGGCCAAGGCGGTGCCAACGCACGCGGTTGGTGCGCTCGAGTACTTGGGCAACTTTGACCCGTCTCATGGAACAAATCCGATTGTGGAAAGGGCGGCGGGCTGTATTTATAGCCATTTTGTGTGTCAAGTCGTTTGCGATAGTTCAATAATCAACATATATCTACTAGTACGAGCTATCACTCGGCGAGTGGGGTCCACCACGGGATGGATCTCTGAGCTCACTCCCAACGACCAAGTGCTGGTGCCAACTCCCACGCATTCAGGCGTAGCATTACGTATGCGAACTCTTTGAGTTAGTTTTTGTGCTAATTTGATTTCAACGCTAACACGTTTGATTGATTGATTAATATCTACTAGTATGCCGTAGGCACACGCTCTCTCTTAACATGATTGCAAGATGATGTCGAGTCCGTCACTCCTAGCATGCATCCCACGTCGCTGATGCGCGTTGGGGAAACGCTGCCGGTAAAGACCTCGTTTCGTGTGGACCGAGTTCATGTTCGACGTGAACTAAAGTGCTTGATTTTGTACTAACTAAACCGATGCATTGTACTATGGCAGCACCTTCGACTTCACGAGGCGCGATGCAAGGCGCATGAACAGCTTGCTCGTTGAAGCGCCAAAGACGATCTTCCGGATACCGACGGTATCCGGACATCCGGTTTCGGCGCGGTGGTTTTATCGCAAGATCCGAAGATGGACGGCGCCGTAGCCGCGAGCCCCGAGAAGCCAACGCGGACCCGGTCCATGTCCTCGGACGAGACGACCGGCGCGTCGGAGGAAGACGTACGTAGCACATGCGCAGGACGATGGCGCCTGCATGGACTGCATGTAGTTCTATGACGCCCATGACGAGGAAGGGCAGTCGCCGAGGCGATCGGTCGTCGTGCCATGCCCACCGAGCAAGCCAGGTAATACACGTCCATGGCTGTGGCCACTGCTTGATGAGGGTGGGCAGAGCTGCCGCCGATTCCCGAGCAGCTACAGGAGAGTGTGGTCCGGCCAGAGGAGCCGCTGCCACCCGCCACGAGCGACGCCGTCGACGTCTTTGTCGTGCGCAACAAGGACACGGGCGAAGTCTACGACATCCGCGAGCTCGAGGCCCATCCCGTCGACTGCTACACGATGTTTCCGCAGAACTTCGAGCCGCCCGCCGCTGACGACGAGTCCGAGGTCCGTTGTCGTCGGCAATGCATGCTACTACATGCTTACGCGCTTGTAGCAGCCACACATACACGAAGAGAAGTCTAAGACGTCCATCAAGGCACGGCTGCGCATGACCTTCAAGAAAAAGGACAAGCAGTCCAAGGCCAAGGCAAAGCCGATGGCCGGCGCCGTCCACGTACAAGCAGTCTACGCCAGGCCATGGGCGCCATGGGATGCGTAGGTCGGGTCGTCGACCAAGGACAAGCGCGAGTTCAGTGCACTCACTGTCGCTCAGACCATCACGTGCCACCATGGCACGATCTGGACCATGAAGTTTAGCCATGATGGCGCGCGGCTCGTGACCGGCGGCCAAGATGCGATTCTCCGCGTCTGGAAGGTGCACGCGCTGGGCGGCGCCGACGCAGAGACGTCGCCGCGACCGCTCTTCGTCGAGACGCCCGAGCAGTCGTACCAGGTATGTACTTCCAGGCTCGAAGTGCGCGTCGTCCTACCGTGGGAATGCGCTTAGGGCCATTCGATGCCGATTGTCGACGTCTCGTGGAGCCGCAGCAACTTTATCTTGTCGGCGTCCATGGACAAGGTACCCATAGTCGTCCGAGGAGGTCGAACGCAACTGCGTAGACGGTGCGGCTCTGGCACATCTCCAAGGAAGAGTGTTTGCACGTCTTCCAGCACCCCGACAGCGTCCCTGCCGTCGACTTTCATCCGAAAGACGACCGGTTCTTTCTCTCGGGCTGCTTTGACAACAAGGCGCGCATCTGGAACATCCCCGACGGCTGCGTCGTCTCGTATGTGCAGACGCCCGTCATGATCACGGCGGCGACGTTCCATCCGTCCGGGTCGCGCGTCATTGTCGGTCTCCTGCACGGCCAATGCATCTTGTACCAAGTCAACAACCACCAAGCGATGAACTACTACACGCAGATCGACTGCCGCAACGCACGTGGTGCGACGCGAAAAGGGCGCAAGGTCACCGGCATCGAGTTTACGCCCGAAGGCAAGTTCTTCCTCGTCACGACCAACGACTCTCGCATGCGGCTCTTCTCGGTCGACAACTATGCTCGCGTGTGCAAGTACAAGGGTCTTCGCAACGAGTACCTCCAGATCAAAGGCCGCTTCAGGTACCTCCACCTCGTCGCGTCGTCTTGAGAATGCCGATATTGCATGTCTAGTCAAGACGGCGACTACGTCATTTGCGGCTCCGAGACCGGCAACGTGTACATTTGGCACAAGGCCAATGCGAGTGCGCACGGCGCGGGTCTCCTCGGCGGCAAGCAAGACCGCAACCAGTCCTTCGAGTACTTTACCGGTACGTGCTAGTACTTGAACGTCATATATGGAGCATGACGCGCGGTAGCGGTCGAGGGGGCCAGTGGCGTCGTGACCGTCGCGCTCTTCGCCCCGGCAAGTACGTTTGCCTTGGCGCCGCTGCCGACGACGGACCACGACAATGTCCATGTCCAAGCCTGCACGGGGTACATGGTCACCGCCACGTACGACGGCGCGATCAAGGTCTTTACGCGGCTCTCGGACGCGTCGTAGCTCGAACCGACGCGTTGACATCCACTGGATGAGAAGAGAATAGGCAAATTTATTAAACATCTAAGGTGGTAGGCAGGAATTGGCGACGACTTACTCTTCGTCGACGAGCTCCGAGAGCGACTCGTCGTCGTAGCTCGTGCCAATCGCGACCATGAGGTCCTTGACGTAGTTTTCGAGCTGCGTCTGCGTCGCGAGCGCGGCGTCGAGCACTTCCTGGTGCGAGGCCGGGACCGCCGTGCGCTGGGTGCCGGGCATGACCACCTTGTTCGTGATGAGCGAGAGGCCGATCGTCTTCATGCCGCAGTGGCGCGCGACGATGACCTCGGGGACCGTCGACATGCCGACCGAGTCGCCGCCGACGAGGCGAAGAAGGCGGCACTCGGTCGGCGTCTCGTACGTCGGGCCCGAGACGAAGCAGTAGACGCCGTTGCGGCGCACCTTGTGCGTCATCTCGTGCTGCTTGGCCATGCGCCACGCGAGGTTCTGGAGCTTGACGTCGTACGCGTCCGAGAGCGGCGTGAAGCGCTCGCCGAAGCGGTCGTCGTTGGGCCCGACGAGCGGGTGCTTGCCAGCGAGGCCGGGCATGTTGAGGTGGTCGGCCATGATCATGACGTCGCCGACGTTGTACGTCTCGTTCAGGGCGCCGGCGGCGTTCGTGACGATGAGAAACTTGACGCCGAGGAGGCTCATGACGCGGATCGGGAGCGTCGTCTTGCGGATGTCGTGGCCCTCGTACGTGTGGAAGCGGCCGCGCATGCAGACGACCTGGACGCCCTCGATCTCGCCAAAGACGAGCTCGCCGGCGTGGCCAACGACCGTCGACTTGGGGAAGCGCGGAATGTCGTTGTAGTGGATCGTCACCGTGTTGGTGAGGCACTTGGAGAGCGAGCCGAGGCCCGAGCCGCAGACCACGAGGATCGACGGGCGGTACGTCGTGGCTTCCTTCAGGAAGTCGGCGATGACGTCGACGTCGTCCTTCTCGGCGACGATCGTGGCCATGGTCGCGGCCTTGCCGGCGGCGGCGAGGTGCTGGACGTGGGTCGGGGTGCGGTCTTGGGTCATGGTTGGATGCAGAGGAGAGTGGCCGGTACCGCGGGAGTGCTGGACGTGGGCAGGAGGAGGAATGTTTTGAAGTGAGAAGCTGGCCATCTTGCTGCTGGCGCTGGCGCTCGGGCTTGAAGGACCTCCTTGGTGGGCCATGGGACACGTCGCAGCTGGTTTTGGTGAATGGCTCCGTATACAAAATGCAAGATTCCTCTGGCTTAGACCTTGAACTTGCGCCTATACAAACGCCAAGTCGATCTTTTCGAATCTTTGGTGACTGTAAATTCAGAAATTTAGAGAATCGCACAGGATATTTCGACATCGAATCCGGCGAGGGCGAAATTGGTCGTGATGCAAGACCGAGGCTGCGCGGGCTGCGAGCACTGGGAGCGCTGTAGAGCTGTAGAGATGGGAGAGCTTGGCCGCGTGGCAGAGCCAAGAACCACGTGGCACGTACACACCCAGGCCCGACACGATCGTTGAAGACGATCTTTGCTATGGCGCCCGCATATTCTGTGACACACTTCAAGAATACCCAATGACGTCTCAAGAAACCAACCAACTGCGGGTGCAGTCCACGGCCCAGCCATCCATCGCACGTTGCAGTTGCCGCGCGATAAGCTCGGCGCTTCAAGTTGTACCTTGATACTCCACCCGGCTCCCGAAAAACTACATGTAGCTCGTCGGATCGTCGAGCTCCCTCTTTACGTCGTGTGCGACAGTACACTGTAGCATGCTCCGCTCGGCGTCGAGGCCACGGTCGTTGCGACTGCACGCCAGAACCAGGCACCAAGCTTATGCGCTGTCGCAGCCCCAACTGCAACTTGAAGTCTTGCATGTGATAACGCAGACTGTCTCGTGTTTGTTCACACCACATCTCTGTCCCTCGCGTCTCGTTGTCACCAGAGCGCCCAGCCCGACGCCGCGTGCCGCTTGTCCTCGATGAGCTTGAGCTCCGAGGGCGAGAACTGGAGCACGGTCGCGATCGCCTTCTCCATGTGCTCCTTGACCTAGTCGACACCGTACAGCTTGGCGTATGGGAGGTGCAAGAGATGGATAGCTATCTACCTCGGCGTGCTCGGTGCTCATGTACTTGACGACGATGTTCTTGAGGTACTCGTTCGTCGTCGGTGCGTGCGGCGACGTCTCAAAGCCACTGAGGCTGTTGGAGCTACTCATGCGTCGCAAGCCCGCCGATGAAAACGTCCCCGACGAGTTGGACCGCGGCGCATCCCTAGCCACATTGTACAATTCAGTGCTCGACGAAGAAATCGAGCAGCGTACCCGAGCTGGCCCCTCGCGGCCTGCAGCTCCTTCTCCTTTTGTTCGACGACCTGCATGGCGCGCTTGCGGTAGAGCGCAAACTCGGTCTTGAGCTTGGCCACGTCGTTGCCGTCGAGGTCCTGCGCGAGCTGGAAGCTGGCGTCGCTCGACGAGAGCTTGGCTTCGAGGTCCGTTTTTTCTCGGAGCACCGCCTCGTACCTGTACTCGAGACATTGATACATTGATGCATTCTTCCAGGGGACGCGAAGTACCGCTCTCGCCACTCCATTGCAAGGACGGTCTCGCCCATCGCGCCGCTGAGCTTTTCGTGCTCGCGCTGGAGCTTGGCGTACTTTTCGCTCCACTCGCTCTCCTACTCCAGATCTTATTGCAAGATCGACGCTGGCGAGGAGTTACCTTTTCGTCGGCCATCGTCTGGAGCTGGACGAGCCGGCGCACTTGCAGCCGCGCGGCCTGGAGCTCGTTCTGGACATCCGTGCCCGAGAGCTGCTCTTGCTGCCGCGCCAGCGTCGATGCGCTCATCTATCCACGTGTCCATCATCGTGGTCGGTGGCTCGGTTCGCGCCTGCCTTTCGGATTTCAGCGTCCTTTTGTTTCCTTGTAATCTCTACACCGGAAGCATGAGCGATGGTGTTGCCGTCTTGGTCGTACCGGCCCGAACGCGGTACCGCCGAAACTCTTCCTGGACACGCTCGAGCTCTTCGCTAAGTTCTTGCTTCTACGAGCGACGGCAATCAACATGCATGAAGTCATGCTAGCGCCGTTGCAATACCATCTCTTGGATCTCGGGCGGCGTCAGCGACAACTCGGGCAGCCGAAGCGGCTCGCCGCTCGTCTTGCGAATGTAGTCGTGCAGCTCGTCTTCGGAGCGGAACGAGACCCAGTCGCACTCGGGCGGCTTCACATCGTCGTCCAAGTCGTTCTCGCTCGCGTACTCGACAAGACACCAAAGCAGCGTCGGGCCCATTGGCATCGCTTGCTTGACCTTTTGCAGAATGCGCCGAGGCTCCCGCTTGGCGCTCGTGGCCGCGTCCGGTGCCTTCTTCTCGGCGGCCTTGAGCTCGAGCACCTGCTGCTGGAGCGCTTCGCACGCGGCCTTCTTGTTCTCGAGGCTGCGCTTGGCGCCGACCATGATGCGCTTCATCTTGTTGTTCTCTTCCTCGACCGCATGCATCGCATGCTTCTGCTGCGCGATGAGCGTCTCGAGGCGCACGCAGCGGTCCTTGTAGGCCTTGACGGCCGCCACCAAGGTCTCCGTGCTCATGGCCTCGGCGCCCGTCGCCGCCCCGGTCTCGGCCTCGTCGGACGACATGGCTTGCAAATTGCGCGACCCCCACGCCAAACCTTCCATACATAATATTTGGCGACTCTCAAACCCGATATGTACCGAAGATGTATGTGATTACACACCTTTAAAAAATGATATTGACAACCAACTGGTGTGGCGCCAGATCCCTGCGGGCCAGCTCTGCGGGCCGGAAGCTGGAGCCGGAGGTTGAAAGGCCGGGCATGACGAACGACCTCCATCGCTTAATGCTGCGCCCGCGTTGTCGACGCTGAGCGCTACGCGCCGTTCTCGGGCAAAAAGTGTGATCGACACCAGCAGCATCATTGCGTTGATGTCCTTCATGTTGCCTCGCGTCAAGAACAGTCTCAAGGGTCCGAGACGTGACTTGATCAGTCTCATATGACGCGCATAGAGTAGGACAAGACACGACAACCTTTCGAGCGGAAGAAGGGCATCATCATCCATGGCCCCCTCGTCGAGAGAATCACCAGACGTTGCGCGACCCACGGCCATAGTACAAGGCACAGCTGAGTTCTTGGTCCAGCGTAATCCCACGCCATAGCAGATCAATCGACGTACCAACATCGTTGCGCATGGCGTGCAGCAGACGCCGTGTAGAAGCCAAGACCGGCGCGCATGCAGTTGTAGGACCGATCCAAGAGCTGGGCGCCGCATCCTACCTGACTAGCAAGCAGATTCTAGTTTTCTGAAAGGCGTCCCGATACCCAATGCCATGCATGTGCTGCATCTTGAAGCGCGCTCTTGTCTCGACACTGGTTGCAAGGCGCAGCTGCTAGACTTTTATCGAGGCGCAGTGGCCGAACACAAGGCTTCCTGGGGCCGAAACAAGGACCAAGTTCCTCGCATGATACGTCGTTTCTAGGCTTTGAGACAGCAGCCTAGGACTCTCGCTGTACTCTGCATCGGAATGGATTGGGCATGCAGCGTGGATCCAAAAGCGTTGGCGCTAAAAATAAGCGCACGTGATTGGCCAGAATGTAACCAATCCGAAGCGTGTATCGGGTGGATTGGCCACCAATCAATCGCAGGCGGTTGGTGGACCATCGACTCGATATATCTCCATGGGCCGACGCGGACGACAGAGCGCCAAGACGGGCGATGGCGGGGCCGAGCGCCGGCTCGCCAAGAAGCTCGAAGAGCAGCGCAAGGGCAAGCAGATGGGAGCCAAGCCCCGTAAGGATGACCTCGTCTTCCTCGACGACCCGTCCGAGGACGAGCTCGAAGAGGCCAACTCGGAGAGCGACGAAGAAGCCATGAGCGAGCAGGAGGTCATGCAGCTGCATGCGAGCAGCGACGACGACGACGACGAGGAAGATGACGTCGACGAAGAGCTTCTTGAAGAGCGCGACGAGATCGAGAGCGACGGCGAAGACTTCACGGAGGAGAAGGAGCGCATCGCCAAGATGTCGGGCCAGTGGGGCTCGTCCAAGAATGCATTCTACTCGGCCGATACGGTCGACTACGAAGGCTTCTCGGACCAGGAAGAAGCGGCGCGCGATGAAGAAAAAGCCGCGCTCGAGCTGCAGCGCAAGCAGGCCGAGATGATGGACGAAGACGACTTTGTCGTTGATGCCAACGACGCGGCCGACGACGACGCCGATGAAGAGACGCGCGTCGGCGATGAGCTCGCGGATATTCCGCTCTACGGTGAAGAACCCGTCGAGAAGGTGACCAAGGATTTCTCCAAGATGACCAAGAAGCAAAAGCTGGCGCTCGTTCAAGAGTACGCTGCCATGCTGTCGACACAATGTCTCATGGATCTCATAGAACGTCGCCGGAGCTGCTCGGCCTCCTTGAAGAGCTCAAGGCGTGCATGGAAGTGCTTTCGACGTCGATCGAGCCGGCCCGCGAGAAGCTTACGCAATGGGCCGAGACCAAGTCGGCGCCCAAGTACGCGGCCGGCCTCGAATACATTCAGATGAAGGAGACTCTTCTGCTCAACTACACGATGAACATCAGCTTCTACCTGCAGCTCAAGGCAGCCGGCAAGACTGTCCAGGACCACCCGGTGCTCCAGCACATCTTGCAGATGCGCGCCAAGCTGAACGCGCTCGAGGCCGTCGACGAAGGTCTCGAGGGCCAACTCGACGAGCTCCTGACGACCGAGATCCCTGACCACGAGACAATCAACGAGGACGACGAGGACGAGGACGATGGGCTTGGCGAGTACTTCAAGGCCGACGAAGCGCCCGAGGCGGCCGCGCCGAAGAAGAAGGGATCGAAGAAGACCTCCAAGAAGCGCAAGATGGAAGAAGACGACCAAGTCGATGAAGACGCCGATGCGTTCTACGCGTCGGTCGCCGCGACCAAGACGAAGACCAAGAACCTCAAGGAAGCGTTCTTCTCGCACGAGCCAACGTACTACCCGGAGGCCGACGACGACGAGGACGACGAGGACAAGAAGCGTGGTGCGACGTACCAGATGATCAAGAACCGCGGCTTGACGGCGCACAAGAGCAAGGTGAACCGCAACCCGCGTGTGAAGAAGCGTCTCCAGTACGAGAAGGCGCTTGTGCGACGAAAAGGCCAAGTGCGCGAGGTGCGCACGGGCGAGGCCGCGCGCTACGGCGGCGAACTCACGGGTATCAAGGCCAACATCACAAGAAGTCGCAAGCTCCGATCGTAAGCAGCACGCGCTGCATTCAACCAACACGCTGTATTTGCCATCTCCTCTGCTGTTGTGACTGCCAAGTGTGCAGGATGATGCTGATCTGCAAGCGATCGATGGAGATCCAAGGTCGTCTTCGATGAACAACATGGAAGTTCATCGGATTACAGGTTACGAGCGGCCATCGCAGGCACGCACGAACGGTCGAGCGTATCGTCTTTACTGGTCCTTCGGGGCGACCGGCGGTTCCCACAAGCGCCATTCTACACCACGGACGTGAGCTTTGTTGTGCTGCGGAGTTCATTGGCGTCGTACCAGCGTACTTGGGGATCAAGAACAGCTCGTCCTCGGCCTGCTCTATTAATTCCTCGACCTGGCCGCAGTTGACGGTCTTCTCGACAATGTTTTCCTACGCATCGCGTATGAGCCTTGGCGAGAGATGGCATCCGTGGCCTCGTACATCGGTGTTTTCCGTCACGACCTTGAGGCGAAAGTTGGTGATCTGCTCCACCGACGTGCGGTAGTGGCACTCGGGCAAATGCGTCTACGTCGCGCCCATGAGCATGCTGCCTATCGCTAGGCTCGTCGTCGTACCGCGGTCGCCTTGAGCGTCTCGCCGTAGAGGTGGATGAGGTCGTTGCGCCAGTTCGGGTTCACCTTGAGGCCCACGAGGCCCGTCGTCGTCTTCTGGACGGCCATGCCGAGGACGCGGGTCGCACGGAACATCGTTGCTGCCGAGTATTTGAGTCACTCCCAACCACCACACAAACCGGGCGATTTCGCCTAAGTGCGTCGGACTTGTGACTTCTTAACCGTACTTGATAGGATCTCAAAGCTTTTCCGCTTGAACGATGGGCCACCCGCGACGATCACGTCCATGCACGTCGCTGTCCGCAGAGAGAAACAAGGATCAGCCACGTACATGCCTCCACTTGGCAAGACGACGGTCCAAGGACGACCCAGGCTTCGGTGCATATCCGATAAAGTGCGATTAAGATGCGGACTTACGGGAACGTAAAGCCGAAGCCGGTGGTTCCAAATTCGATTTGGCGAAGGAAACAATAATCATGTCGGCCCAGGATATCGGCAACGCGTTCATCGGTCACTACTACACGACCTTTGACGGCAACCGCGCCGCTTTGGCCTCGCTCTACGTACGTCCTGCCACGTCATGGCGCAATCCAAAGGCTGATGGCTCTTCTTATATGCCTTAGAGCGACCGCTCGACGCTCAGCTTCGACAAGGACACGTTCCAGGGCACGCAGGCCATCTTGGAGAAGCTGAGCAAGCTCCCGTCGACGCAGCACCGTGTCGACACGACGGTCATCCAGCCTTCCGTGAGCGACAACGCGATCTTGATCGTGGTCACGGGCAAGCTCGTCGTACGTGCCGATCGTATCGGTCTTTATCGCATGGCTAACCTCGTCGTGTGCTAGATTGACGGCGGCAACCCGCTGCAGTTTGCCCAGACATTCCAGCTCGTCGCCCACGCGCCCGGCCAGTTCTACATCCACAACGACTTTTTCAGTCTCATTTATGGATAATTTAGCCCCGCTATAATGCGCACAATATAAGCGCCTGCCTTCTTGACGTCGTCTCTTGTCGACAGCGACCGAGCCCCTTCCGCGACTTCGAGTTCGCATCGCTCCACGTCAGAGAGCTGCGTATCGAGTTTCACAGGCAATAGACGCGGGCAGTTTCGGCCTGGACCATGGATGCCATGGTACGTGCCGCGACGGCGCCAGCTCGAGCTCATGCAGACGCGTAGAAGCGATCGGCCGCATCCGACAAGCAGGACAAGGTACTAGCTCGCTCCACCTGCCACCTGTGCCAACGCATGGTTCTGGGCTAGGCGCGGGTGACGCTCATGGAACGCCAAGACCACGAGACGGGCAACGCGCCGATGCTAGCCCAGCTCCGCGTACAATCGACGATGTCAGTCGTACCAGGTATCCATGGTGTCGATGGCGTAGATCAGCGAGCTCGACAAGCTCGTGGCGCGGGTCAAGCAAAAGCAAGCGCTCATCAACGACATCATGGCCAAGTACAACGACGAGCTCGCGCACATTGAGAAGGAGTCGCGCAAGATCCACGAGCGCTACGACCCGCTGTGCGCGCGCCTCGCCGAGCGCCTCGCCGAGCAGAAAGCCAACCAAGCCCATTACGACACGATTGCCAAAAACTTTGGCCAAGTACGTTTGCCACGCTGCCACGTCATCACGCTAGCTGTCCCTAGATCCTCAGCACGACCAAAGCCCGCTTGCGGAGCAGCCAAACCGAAGGCCTTCACAACCTGCGCCGCGAAGCCACGGCCGAGCTCGCGGCGACGCGCGGCTTTGCCTCAGACGTCGCGAGCACGTTTCATCAAAAGGGTCGAAAGTAGCAGCACGACTAAAGTCGACGACCAACGCGACAGTACTTGTACTACAGCAGCGATCATGGACTACAGCACTTTCGTAGTCGCTACCAAAACGATTGACAAGTCGACTAATCGACTACGTTGCTATGATACTCGTGGCTATCATGGACTAGAGAGAGAGTCGTCGTCGGGGCGGCCAAGGAGCTCACGCGATGGATCCGGATGCGAGGCGGCGTGTGACAAGCCGACCGTTGAACTATCCGGAAGATCCTCGCTCGTCAGACAGGCGCCAGGAACCGTTCCATCGCCGACATGAGCACCGAGCGCTTCCTCGTCGACGACGAAGACGACATCGTACTCGCCCGCCTCATGGCCGTGGCGCCGATGACGGTAGATGGATGGCCCTCGGCCTACGCGTCGACCTACCCCATGGCCCTCAAGGGCATCGGTAAGCAGCGAGGGTGATGCGGCTGATGAGGCTAAAGCACGATGGCGGCGTAGTTCCATCGGCCGAGTTCAATACGTGCATCGAGGCTATCAACCAAGCCGTGAGCGACTACTACCCGTGCATTCCATGCTACAGCTGCGGGTACCTCTGCTGCCTCTCGACGCTAGGGCTCTCGCTGCTCGTGCGGCAGCCCTGCACGACCGAGGTACGAGTAGCATCGCCTTGTATCGCCGCCCGTGTGAACCCATTCGGTGTAGCTTGAACAAGCGGTCGAGATGGTGCTCAAGCGCGTCAACAAGCGCGAGACGTTCCTTTTTCGCGGCCTCGTCTGGAAGCTCAAGCGACCCCGCCACACGTACACGTCCTGGATCGAGATCTGCCAAGTGGCGTGTTGATATTCATAAGGCGACGGGTATATGTACTACATGTTTGTTGATTACATGGCTGTTTTGTCTCGCGCCCATGAGGCGGTCGCGGGGCTTGCAGCAGTCGTCATCCGGGCCTGGATGCGACTCCTGCAAGTCCACGTCACAACGAGCTTGACTAAGGACAGCCGTGCTGCTTGCGATTCGCCATGTGCCAGAGCGACGTGGCGCCCACGTGTCCACCATGAGGCCAACGCGAGAGGCCAACCTACGGGACATAATGTGCGAGGAGTCAGGGAGACACGCGGCAAGGGGTATAAAAAGGTTAATAACTTACGAAGGGGGACTCCCGTAGCGATATAGGTGTGCTGGGCATCGCTTTAGGACCCACTACAGAAGGAATTGTAGGATCGCACGTGGGTGGCAGCTCACGCCACCATGATGTCTTGGACGTCGGCAAAGAGGTCCTTCTTGCTCTTGTTCAAGAGCTTGGCCACTTCCTTGACGACGTTGGCGCCGACGGACGTGACTTCGCTCACTTCTTCGACCGAGCGCTTGGCGTTGGTGAAGGCTGCCACAATGTAGATGACGCCCGCCGCGATCGCATGCGGCGCGCGGCCCTCGACGATGCCCATCTTGGTGGCCTTCTCCACAATCGGCGACGCAATGATTCGCGTCTTCTGCGGTAAATTGAGCGACGAGCAAAAGCGCGCGAGAAAGTCTTCGGTCCGGGCGCGCGGCGCCGGGCCCGCGCGGTCGATGAGGTTGGCCTTCGTGATCTGCGTCACCATTTTGCCAATCTTGAACTTGTCGACGCCGGTAATCACCTCGAGCTCCTTGTAGCTGCGCGTGTTGCCACAGTCGCGACAGGCCATGTACAAGACGGCGGCGTACACGCGGGCCTTATTGAGCTTGCGCGAGACGTTGAACTGCTCCGACTCGTCGACCTTGGCGAAGAGCGTGATGGCGTAGTCAGCGACAGTGTTGTTGACGCGCAGCGCATCGCAGTAGTCGCGAAGCGCGTCAAAGCCCGCCCGGCGGCGGACGACTTGCGAGGTTTGCGACAAGTGGTGTGCGCGCGGAGGGCCGTCGGCCGACGCCTTGGACTTGGGCCCGACGATATAGGTCTCCAGCGTCGCGTCGAGGCCCAGGCGCTCGTCGAGGCCCTTACCGACGCGGCTTTGATCCCCGCGTTGTCTATCGTCCTCGGCATAATTGTTCCAATCGGGTGCATCGTCGATCATGTGTTCGATCAGGACCATACCGCATCCCCGGCAAATGAGGTCGCCAGCGCCATGGTCCTCAACGAGGTCGTCGCTGCCACACTCGAAGCAGACGCTGTGACTGCGGTCCATTCGCCTAAGGTCGTCGGTCGGTGATCGCGGGTCGGCGGTAGCGGCAGTGTACCTCGCGCTGGGCCGCGAATGGGATTTTTATCGAGTTTCAAAGGCTATCGATTCCCCACAGTGGTTGGACGGAATCCCTCGAGATCGTACTTGGCAGGAGTCTCGTGGTTCGATATTTTTAATCAATGCAAGCTGGCCATTTGTATGTTTGTGCAACAATATAAAGGAATGTCTTTTACGTGCGAGGCGTACTTACGAGAGTTGTATTTCTGTTTTTTTAATTACGATCCCAACCTTCTTTAATCGATGTGTTTGTATGCACAATGGGAGTGGGCGGTGGTCGCGCATTTTATCAAATTCGAAAACGACAGGTTCTCGAAAGTTCGACGAGGACCATCATCGCGGCTGAAACCGGAGTCGGCTAAATCCACGCAACCTTCCATGGCGCCAATGCCAACCACGACCGAGACTTCTTCCCCGCTACGTTGCTCCGTGCTGGCTTGGCGTGTGTAAACGATACCGAAAGCGGCGAACCGCGGGAGCTGTAGTGCCGTAGGCAGCTGAGCGCGACGCCTTGTAACTGCTAACCGTTGCGTGGATCCAGACTGCGTACGTGGCAGCCCACGATGACAGCATTTGCATTATTTTTTGAGGCGCTGGGCTTCCTTGGTTTGCTTCATCATGAGGACAAAGACATCAAAGTCGCTCGTGGCCACTAGCATGCGCGAGTAGATGGCGATCGTGCCATGCGGGTCCTTCTCGTGCGCCTACATTGTCATGAGCGACGCGCGGGATTCGTTGATGCGAGTACCTTGCGCACCAGGTCATAGAATTCAGCTACCGACGAGCCTTGGGACTCGATGAACTCTACGCCACACCTCGCGTGTTGCTATTGGAGACAGTGACATTCATGCGTACCTTCGATTTTGGTCTCAAACAGCTTGGTGAACTGGTTGTAGACGTCCGTGTACCTGCAAAACATGAGGCGAACTCGAGCAAGGATGGCGTACTCGAGCTGCATTTCGTCTGCGTCCGGGTCAAAGATGTCGCAGTGCTTGTCTGCAAACCGCTCAAACGTGGCGCAGAACTCGTCGTTCTCGAAGAAGAACGCGATCACCTTGTCGACAATCGTGGGGCCGCCCTTCGCCTCGGCCGCGTCCTTGGCGCCACCGCTCTCGTCGTCTGCCTTCGTCGCCTTATGCGTGTCCTTGGCGTCGTCGTCGCGGCCGTGCTTGCTCTCGCTTGGCATCGCCAGAAAAATGACCCGAGACGTTTCGAGAAAACGGCAAATTGATCGCATGCGACTGGCGACGAGAGGCCGAAAGGTTGGCATCCGCACCGCTTGAAACGACGCGACTACTATGCCGTTGCGATTCGGACGAGGCCGTTGGGGTCCATCACCAACGTCGCACGTAGCGTGTCCATCATGGCATCGCTACCAGTCCTGCAAACAAAGACAACTTGGTTCTTATTGCAACGCGAGATCGTTGTGCTTCTAGCTCTACTTGCGGAACCGCTGCGTCTCGTGCGTGCGCTGCATCATGCGCACAAAGACCTCAAAGTCGCATGTGGCCACAAGCATCTGCGAGTACACGGCGAGCGTGCTCTCGGGGTCCTGGTCGTGCGCCTACAGAACGATACTCTGTCGTCAACCGAATGGGTGAAAATGGGTCGTCTACGGTCTTGACAAGGTCGTAAAATTCGGCAACAGACGAGCCCTCGGACGCAATGAACGCTGGCCAAAGGACGATGAAATGAACTACCTGGCATGGACATCAATTTACTAGTACCTTCGATCTTCTCTTCAAAGAGCGCGGTGAAGGCGTTGTGAATGTGCGTGTACCTAGCCATAGACGTTGCTTGCCTTGTCGTATATGTCGTATATGGTGGCGACTACTCGAGCTTCATTTCGTCCGCGCATGCATCAAAGCTGGGCGCGTGCGTCTCTGCAAACTGCTCAAATGTCCGCGAAAACGCAGCGTCTTCAAAGAAGAACTGGACGACCTTGGTCACGATATTGTCTGGACACACCGTCTTGGCGTCGTCATTCTCGCGGCCGCTTTCCCCGGTCTTGCCGTCGTCGTCGTCGCAGTCCTTGGCGTCCCGTGGCATGCTGGTGTTGCGATCTTCCGAAACCAATTGCCGCGCTAGTACGAATTACGGATAATAATATATATCCGGAAAACGTGGCCCAGGGCTCATTTTTGCACCGATGGGCCTCCAGTTCCGGGACCTGGCGGTCGCGTACGACCGCGTCCTTGTGGACGCCTTCTATGACCAAGTCCTTGCACCCGCCTTTGGCATCATCCCTGATGGTACGAGCGCTTCGACCTGATGCAGCTCATACTATGTGCCATGCAGAGATTGAGGACGTGGATACGCTGCACTACCAGCTCGCGACAGGCAACCACGAGGACGACCCCGAGTACCTCTTGCATTGCGTGCTCGTCTTTGACGAGGCGAGCTCGGGAAGCGATCCTGCCGACATGCTGGGCGGCTTTTGCTGCGAATACTACCCGCGCAGCAACTGCGGGCTCATCACGTACATCTCGACGCACCCGGCGCGCGACACCCGCGGCCTTGGCCTTGGCAGGCACATGGTGGACGAGGTCTTCCGCATCCTAGACGTCGACGCTACCAAGCGGCAACATCAAGCCATCACGGCGATCTTTCTCGAGTCCAATACCGACGCCGTGCAGGACGACATCATGGTGCCGGCCCGCCGACGCGCGCTGCTCGGGAAGCTCGGTGCACGCTTCCTGGCCTTCGCGTACGTCCAGCCGCGACTGAGTCCAGAGAAGGCGCCGTGTCGGACTTTGCATCTCGGCGTCTTTGATCGCTTCCTCGAGCCGACGGGGAATGGTGGCGTGGGCATCCCTGCGGCGACAGTCGCCGCCTACCTCGCCGAGTTCTACACGGTCCTCATGGGCTCGGACGCCTTGACGAATGACGCCGACTGCCGTCGACAGCTCTCGCAGCTACAAGGCATGGCACATGTCCCCGTGGATGCGTCCCTCTCGTAAATGTCAAGTCGTTTTAAGCGTTGTTTGCAGGTTCGTATGGCTACACAGCTAGTCGGGCGTCCTGTCTTAGCCCATCATATCGTCGTCTTCCTGCTCTTCGCCTTCGACAGCGACAAAGTCGCCCTCCGCTGCGTACCTACATAGCAGCGTAAGACGATCGTGTCGAGACAGCGTGCGTCGTACAGGATGTTGAAGATGGACTTGACCGTCTCCGTGTGCTCGCTTTCGTCCAGTTCTTGCAGCATCAGCTCAATGTCACGAAGCTTCCCAAAGTAAAAGTCCCGCTCCTTCTCGAGCCCTTCGATCTACGCAGGCATGTCGTGTCGATCGATCGACATGGCGGTGCAAGATCTACCTGTCCGCGGAGGATACCGTTGGCTTCCGACAGCGCTTCGTTCTCCTTGGTCAGCTCGTCGACCTCGGCGTTGCTCGACGCTTCGCCTATGAAGCATGAGTCGCCGACATTGCGAGCGCTGCCTATGCGTACTTTGGCGCTTGGACGAGATAGCACGCTCCTTTTCGATCGAGGACGGTGCGCTCGGAGGCTTGGCGCTCGACTTGGTGCTGGACGCCACGGGGCGGCGCTTGGGCGCGGGCGCGGCCTGGGACGACGCCGTCGACGAGGCCGACGAGCCGCCGCCGCCGCCGCTGCCGGTAAACTTAAACTTGGTCGAGTACGCGGCGCCGCCCTTGCCTTTTTCACGCTGCGCGATCGGGTCATAGTCGTTGGTGCCACCGCCGTTGAGCTCGTAGAAGCGCTTGTACCACTGCATGAACTCGAGGTTGTCTTGGTACTTGCCGCGGATGAGCTTGTCGACTTCAATGTGGCGGTCGATCTTGAGGTTCGTAAACACCTTTTGCAGGATCTTGTAGTTGTTGATGTACTCGTAGTCCTTGTTGGCGCTCCAATCGACCTTGGACATGGGCACCTTGCCGGGGTAGATGGCGTCGAGGATCTGGCACGCGACCGCGCCCGTGCACGTCTGCTCGACCTTGGTCAGGCCCAGCCCGCAGGTCGCATTGACCCAGTCTAAGATCTCCTTGCGCCCGACAAAGTACGCGCCGTCCATCATCCCGATCGCTTGGTCCGACGACATGGTGCTGCTCCTCGTCGCCACTGTTTAAATGATCGCCCCACAGACGCGAGCGCAATTTAATTGACGCAGTTTTTACCACTTGTACCTTGTAAACGCGTGCAATAAAATACACTTGCGGTCCAACTACCTTGATCTTTGTATATAATGGAAAGAAACCCCAAAAGATATGCAAAGCCACGACGCATGATTCGTCGAGAAAGGCCGCGTGTTTTGGCCAATCCAACGCGGCAAAGGCCCATCAACAATATTTAGTGTTACTTGGAACCCTTTGACGCAAAAGGCTCGGAGAGCGACAACGCCTTGCGCTGCAGTGGCGCGCATGCACCGCATGTCCTATGCAGTATGCGCAGGGAGTGCTAAAAGCAGCAAATACGACACGTGCGTGTACATCACAACGGCGGTTCTCCATGCGTTTGTAACACTACCTACAGTTTTCTTTTAATAGTGTGATGTGGCCAATTTCCAGTCGACAGTGCCGGACGAGACAAGCTTGAAGCGCAGGCCAATGTCGCTGACGCAGCTCTTGGTGCACTTCCCGCCTGTGGACTTTGCCATGGGCTACGGCTCGGGCGTCTTCAAGCAGTCGGGCCATGACAGCTCCAGCTCGATGGTCGACCTCGTGCTCGCCGTGGAGGACCCGGTCGCATGGCACGCCGAGCAAGTCGCCCGTCACCCCGAGCACTACTCGGGGCTCAAGGTGTTTGGACCGAAAGCCATCGCGTACATCCAAGAGGAGCTCGGTGCTGGCGTCTACTACAATACGCTGGCGCAGATTCCCGGCACAAACCAAATGAGTACGACGACCTCGCTGCTGTCGGTATCTCATCTTGGTTGCCCTATTAGTGAAGTATGGCGTTGTGCGCACCAGCACCTTGTGTGACGAGCTCACTGGGTGGTCCAACTTGTACCTCAGCGGCCGCATGCACAAGCCCGTATGTCGTCGTCCTGCCCACAAAAATAGGAGCGTTCTGCATATTCGTTAGGTCAACATCCTCACGTCCGTGCCATCGGTCGACGCGGCGGCGTCCACGAACCTCTCGCACGCGCTCCACCTCGCGTTGCTCGGGCTTCCCGAGACGTTTACGGACGAAGAGCTTTTCATGGTAGTATTACCTGCACCCGCCATAATCGTGTGCTGATGTTGCAAGCAGAAAATCGCCGGCATCTCGTACTGGGGCGACTTTCGCATGACGTTTGGCGAGAACCCAAAGAAGGTCCGCAACATTGTGCACGGCAACTTAGAGGGATTCCAGACCGTGTACGCCAAGAAGCTGCAGGTACATGCCAACATGCCATTATCTGTGCTGAAGAAGGCGTGGTAGACGTCGCCGTACCTGCAGAAGGGGCCGACGACGTGGACGATGGACACGACGCCGTCGGCGCGCGAAGCCATGTTGGCAAGCCTGCCGCACAACGTCACGTCGCGCATGTCGCCCAAGCACAAGGCGCTGACGATCGCGTCGCTGAACGGGAAAAAGGTCAAGCAAGCGGTCGCTAGCATCGTGCGGACGTCGAGCCGGACGCAGAGCATCAAGGGCATCCTCACGGCGGGTGGCGTCAAGACGGTCCAGTACATTTGGCAAAAGCTCAGCCGAACGTACTTGCGCTAAACGTCCTATCCAACGCCGTCGTCGTCGTACTCGCATCAACAGATGACCATTGCAGACTTGACCATGAGGTCGGCTGCGTCCCCAAACTATATGTACATATCTGCAAGGGATAGTAGGAGGAGGTATACGAGGCAGCAAGTCGTTGGAGAGACGGGCCGTTGCCGTCAAGGTCTTATTGCTTGGTAACGAATCAAGCACTTAGATAAGATGAGCGGATTATCCGGATGCTTGTTGTATATCCGGTGTCGGCCATCACCTAATGGGCGACCGAACGAGCAACCGCGAAGGCAAGGTCCGGCTCGAGCCGGGCTTTAGCCAGATCGTACGCATCCTCCTAAGGACGACGACTCTAGCTCATGCTGGATGATGTAGCACTGGATGATGCTGACGCAGCGGTCGCGAGACCTCGCGGGCTTGAACGGGCAGCCGCCCCGGCGCAACATCCCGCGCGAGGAGGTCGCGCTCCACAACTCGGAGCACGACTGCTGGAGCATCCTCGACGGCAAGGTGTACAACTTTACGCCGTACATGAAGTACCATCCCGGCGGTATCCCGAAGCTCCTTCTCTGCGCGGGCGGCGACTGCACGACCATGTTCAACGAGAGCCACGCGTGGGTCAATGGCCATGGCATGCTCGAGGCAACGTACCTCTTCTTCGTCTTCTTCCGCGCTCAAAGATGCTTAGAAATGCTACTTGGGCACGGTCGCCGAAGGCCCGGTGCCGCCCACTGCGACGTCCAACGTGGCGCTTAGCACGGTCGACTGGCGACCGTTCAAGCTCCTCGCCGTGCGCGATGTCGCGGCCATGACCAAGCTCTTCCAATTCGAGCTGCCCTCGGGCAAGACACTGGTACAACATTCTCGTGGGTGTCCTCATCCTTCATCGGGTGCAGGGCCTCGTCATGCCCGGGCAGCACCTGCGCATGCGCGTCTTCATCAACGGCAAGCCCTACGAGCGCGCGTACACGCCCGTGTCGCCGCTCGACCAGGTCTGTCACGCCGCATTATGCACTTCTTCGAGCTCCTCCTCATGCAGGACTGTAGAAGCACACGGTCGACATTTTGATCAAAGTGTACCCCGATGGCATCGTGACGCGCCACCTCGCGTCGCTTCCGATTGGCGCGACCGTCGACTGCATCGGCCCCCAAGGCGCGTTTGGCTACACGGGCGTGGGCGAAATCACGCTATCGTCCATTGTCCATCGCAACGTCAAGCACATTGCCATGATCGCGGGCGGAAGTGGCATCACGCCGATGCTCCAGCTCATCCGCGCCATCATGCAAGGCGCAACGAAGGACTCGACGACGCTGTCGCTGCTCAACTGCAACAAGTCGGCCGAGTACGTCATCGCCAAGAGCTCGCTCGGTCCGCTTCACAACATGTTTCCCGCCCGCTTTCGCTGGTTCAACGTACTCGGTGAAGCGTCGGCCAACGGCACCGATGACGTTGAGCCGTGCATCATCGGGCGACTCGACGCGCACCTCATCGAGCAGCACGTGCCGGCGCCTGGCACAGACGGGCTCTTCATCTTGCACTGCGGTCCGCCCAAGTTTGACGAATTCGTGCATGATACGCTGCTTGGCATGGGCTACAGCGCGGGCCAGATGCATCAGTTTTAAGTCATTGGAAGTCCTTGCGCTCCAATGACATGAGTCCACGCAGGGCGGGACAACCTTGCCTGTGGTCGGTGGCGCCAAATTTCAATCCATACTATTTCATGCGAAATACTTGATAGTGTTATCAATCCGACGCCTACGGCTTGTAGGTCTTGACTATTGAGGCAGTGCTGGCAGCGAGCTGCCTGCATGGTGTACACGGGGTGCGTTGCTACACCTGAGAGTACAACAAGCGTGATCGCACCTTGACGGAGAGATTTCTCTTCATTGTTCGTTAACACTATTTATGCTAGCCACCAAGCATCATCGCATCATCGGAGGTCAAGATCCAGATTGCCGTTTGGACGATGGCCGACGACGACGCGCTGGAGCACGCTGAGGACGTCGAGCTAGCGACCGCCGACAGCGACGCGTATATGCAGCACTTTTGCAGCGTCCTGACCAAGATGGTACGTGGCAGCGACAGCGGTGGCGGCTAACAGGGCGCTGTAGAAGGCCATTTTCTGGGCGCTCTTGGCGCCGGCCGAGCAAGCCATGGTCGACGATTTCCTAGCGCTTGCTGAGCCTGCGCAAGCGCTGTACGCGCGCCTCTTTCAGCGCAAGGGCCCGTGGTTCCGGTCCACGTCACTGGAGCAGTACCTGACGTCGAAGCGCATCAACTGGTCTGCTGTCGACGACGACGATGGCACGCCGCCGCTGCAGCGCGCCCTAAGCGCCTTGCACGCCGCGGGCTTTGTCGCCGGTCTCAACCACGACACGAAAGAGTTCTCGTCCGTGCTGCACGCGATCGCGCGCGCCTGCCCGCTACCCGAAGTTGCGCTCATTCTGCAGGCCGTGGGCGCGTCCACCAAGGGCAAAACCAAGGTGACATACCTACTCTAATGCAGTGTATGTTGCGAGCCAAGCGAGTAGGGCGACATGCTGGAGCGACTGCGAACGCATGTGAGCACCCAACGCCGTCTCGACGGCTCGTTCCTGCCTCTAGCGGCCACGGTACTCTGCGTCTCCTGCCCTTGCCATCATCCCAAGTGTAGGTTCAACGTGTGCTCTACGATACAGCAACATGCGCGAAGAAGACCAAGAACGACCTCTTCTTGGTGCAGATCGCACCCGAGAGTCGAAGCGCCTTTCGCCGGATGCACCATCTCGCGTACCTCACCGCGTCGTTTACGATGCCAACGCGGGCGCCGCCCAAGACACCGAGTTGGGACGAGTGGCGTCAAGTGTTTTTCGCCAACGAGCCCGTGGTGTGGCCCGGCCTGCTGCAGACGTTTAATCGGTTCATGGCGCCGACGTATATTTGCACGCCCAGCGCCGGCATGTTTCCCTCGCTCCACGCATTAGTGCTGTACGAGTGCAGCCGGCGATTGCGCCAAGCCATGTACTCGATTGGCGAGTGCATTCCGGTGCAAAGCAAGGTGCTAACGCGCGAGCCGTCGCTCTCGATCGAGTGGCTCGACCACAGCCCGCCGTCGCTGCTCGTCTTTCAGTCGCCAGCACCTCTCGATGACGCGCCGTGGAAGATGGCGTGTCACCGCTCCGTCGACGTACGTCCTCTTGATGTCGGCGTTTGGACCTTTCATAAGAGATAGACGTTTCTGCGAACGTTCGCCGACTTGGACGCGCTCGTGCTCGAGGTGCGCCATGCCTTGCGGGCCTACCCCGCGCAAGAGAGTGACGTGGCACGCCCTCCGTTCTTCGCACACTTTGATGGCGGCTACCAGCTCGTGAAAGCCCTCGACAGTGCGATAACTATCTACGAGAAACTCGGGCAGCACGACAAGGCCGTCGTCTTGCTCCAGGAAGCGCTCGCCGCCCGCCGGATTGGCTACAAGCGGTATTGGGATGGCCGCATGCTCGACGCGTCGTACCTACTATGTGTAGTGGTTCGTGGTACGTTCGGCTGGCGGTCAACTTGCACATGCATCTCAAGCAGCCGAACGAAGCCATAACGATCTGCGACCAAGGCTTGGCCGACGCCGCCGTGCGCGACTGCGACCGCCTTGTCCTGCGGCGCAAGCTCGTCCGGCTCCGCAAACCAAGCCCCAACAACGACAACGACGACGACAACGACGACGAAAGCAAGCCGAATGAACTCGGATGCTATCTCTCGGAAGCGATCGAAGGCCGGCCGCTGAACCGCGCGACGGGCGAAAAGTCGCGCTTCATTGGCTACGACGACGCCGGTGTCTCGGTCGAGGAGCTCGTGTTGCAACACTACAACCGGGACGGTATGGGATTGTATCAGATCGGATTGCAGTGGATTGAGAAACACTGGATCGTAGGGTGGTACGGAAGCCACCGCGAAGGCGCCGAGATGCGCATGCTCTTTGGTCTTTTGCTCTGGGACGTCATCTTTATGCCACAGCCGCACGTCTTTCAAACGCTGTATCAGGTAATTTCCAGTCCGGTGCGAGTGATACTGACAAATTGGGCGATGTAGGATCGACCGCTCGACTTGGACATTCGGTATGCAGCCCATTTTTACGCCGCCCGCGCCGACGCGATCGACGCGACGTTGTCGGCGCTTGCGGCCATGAGCACCTCGGACTTGACGACGCACATTGGGCAGCGCTACGACGGCTGCGAGGTCGGTATCTCAAGCATCCTCGTCGGTCGACTGACCGACAGGCTGGCGTAGGGTCAAAATGGCTATGGCATGTCGTGGAGTACCTCGAGAGGTTACTTGCAGCTGCTGGCTGCCGGTCTCGGTGGCTCCAGCTTGTCGCGGTTGCTTCGTCTCTGGGGTACATGACTGCAGCAGTTTGTGTTGTGCTCATGTGTTTGATGGTAGTAACTGAGTGCGACTCGAGCGGCATGCCCGACCTCATTCTTGTCCGTGTGCCGACAGAGGATGGCTACGCCAACCTCCAGCGCTACATCGATCGCACCGAGACGTCGGCGGATGCGGACGAAGTGCCATTGCTGCTGCTCGAGGCAAGCCAGGTGCAGCTCGTCGAGGTGAAAGGTCCGCGCGACGCGCTCTCCGACACGCAACTCGTGTGGCTCAACCGGTTCCGCCAAGCAGAAATGTGTGCCAAAGTGTGTTTTGTGCACGAGCCCGACGAGAAGAGCAAGGCGCAAGCCAAGAAGGCGGCGACGCGGACGCCCGCAACCAAGCGACCTCGCAAACCGAGTCGCACCACCGCCAAGAAGCGGCAACCGGGTGCGTCGATCCTTGGCGTCGCAGCCAAACGCATACCTGAAGTCATCGAGATCAGCGACGACGACGACGAGTAACTCACGAAGAGACTAGTCAAGTCAATTTTCAACGCCATTTCCATGGTCTCAAAAGAGATACATAGCCCAGATTCCAATCAATGTAGAAGAAGTCGCAGCCTCTGGATGGCGAAGCGTCGTCGCATGCAAAGGCTTCGTGGCGCCGTTGAAGGCGTGACGCCAGCGTGCTGTCACTGGACGCTGCCACGTGGGCGCGACGGGGGTTTCTCGGAACGTTGCAAAACCAAAATCCAAGATCCGAAACCGCCAAAGAGGTTTCGCGCAACGGTCGCGCGCTGTTCTTTAGCGTGCAGTGCCGTATCCACCCCGTGTTGCATTCTACGCGTTGCTATGTCCAATCAGGTGCGATGCGATTTATACTCATGCTGGTTCCCCACACTCAAGTCCGCAAGCGGGCGATCGTCGGCAGTGGAATGTGCCAGGAACGTTTTTACTGCAAGCCCCACAGATGGCGGATCTCGAAAAGGTATCTTTGGTTCGATCGAGCGCATGGCTCACGCTTGCTCGCAGCTGCGCTTCAAGGTCGACCCACAGCCACCAGCGTTCCCGTTCGTCGGCAAGCCGTTTGACATCACTGTGTACTTGGTCGACGGCGCCGGCGACCTCAAGACAGGGTACTACCGATCTCCCACCCGCCACCCGGCGAGATTTGCTGATACGGCGTAGGCTTCAAGTGCCGCTGCAAGTGCGCCTTGTAGCGGGCGAGAGGCCGCTCGACCCAGATCTTATTGAGGTGGACGCGTCGACGCCGCCAGTCATCGACGGCTCGGGCATCTGCAAGCTTTGCATAACAGTGCACCGCTCTTCGGCGACGCACCAGCCGTTCCAGCTCGAGATCACGCCCGCCGATCCTGGTAACACTGATGATACACACTGCCGTGTCACACGAATGCGATCTTACATTTCTTCCTGCGGTAGGAATCGCGCCAGCGCTCACTTCTGCGATGACCGTCGTCAAGCACCACCTCGTCGTGCAAGAAGCGCTGCCCGACGTCTGGTACAAGGACGAGGGCAGTCGCGACAAGTGCCTCGAGATCGTGGTGCACTTGGTCGACCATGCCGGCGCGCGCGTCCGGAACCGCCCGCTGCCGCTCCACCTAACGCTGCTCTACGAGAGCGGCGTCGTCGTCTTCAAGCAAGACATCCTCAAGGTCTCGCCCGAGTCGGAGCGCGGCATTGACGCCAACGGCCGCGCCGTCCTCCGCGTCCGCATCGAAGACGTGAGCCGGAACCACCAGAGTCAGCCGTTCCGGCTCAAGATCGAGCCGTCCGAGAGCACAGACGTCGCCCCTGACGCCACGTCGGCCGTCACCGTTCGGTCCAAGCGCAACAAGCGCCCGGCACCGCTTAGCAGCGAGGCGACGATGGCCGACTTGGTCTCGGTCGAGGACAGCAGCGCGTCGTCGTCGACCGAGTCGCCGCCCCGGAAACGGCACCATGCTAGTGCCGTCCCGATACCTCCGAGCTTATCGAGGGTCGTGCAATGGACGCGGTCGGTTCTCAAGGGGTTGGAAGCCCTCGAGTGGCAGCAAGTGGGCTACGAAACGCAGGGTGACGGGTCGCTCGACTACCGCCGGCCACTGTACCGGTGCCCGGCGTGCTGGCGCTACAAGGACATGCTCACGTACAGCTCGCAGCACCATGCGCCCCACTGCGTCATTGCCAACGCCCTCTTGACGTACGCGACCGAGACCGTGTACGACTTTGAAGCGCTATTGCAGCAGCTGCAGCCACCTACTACTAGTAGTACTACCGAGCCGCCGCTTCTCGCGACGTACGAAGACCACGTGGTTTGTATAGTCGCGCAGCTCGCGGTGCTCCATGCTGGCGCCTGCGTCGGGTTCCCAGCGTTCGACAGCGCGTTTGGCCTTGTCGGGTTCTACCAGGCGGTGACAACAACGACGACAACGATGGTCTTTTGCCCGCTCGCGTCTGTCCCGAGCTTGACGCGCGCGGACGTCGATCGTCTCGAGATGAGCACGCACCAAGCACTCTTCGAGCTGAGCCCGGCGCTCTTCCGCTTGGACACGTTTGGCGGCGACTTGGAGAAGCTCAAGGAGCGCGCTTTGCTCTACTTTTGGGAGTCGAATCTCGTCGCTGCATGACGCGTCACTCTAGTAGAGCACCAGAAGTAGGATATAAGGTTAGTGTTAGGAAATAGTATGGTTGTAAATAAGGTCGCCATGCAAGTTGTCTTTTTGTACATGGACCTTCATTACACTGCCGAGTGCGGGTGGCATGGTGGATGGAGATGCGTACTACCATGCCGCGAGACGTCGGAAAGGTCGCATTCGTAAGCACGCGGTGTGCAGGATGATTGCCAGCACTTGTTGGTACAAGTATTTGGACGGTCCTCGAACCACTTTGCCCAGTGCTATGTACATATTGTACTTGCCTGGGACGAAGACGATATCTCTTGAGAGCTGAGCCAAGACAGCAATTATGCAGACTCGTGTTAGTCTCTACTTTAGAAAGGCCATGGGGAAAGGCGCCACAAAGGTCGCGAAATCAATTTACATGGTGTAGGTAGAGAGGCCAAGGGCTATGACGCCTCGCTTCAACGCTGCGCTGGCTAAACTTGAAAAAAGAAAAAATACCGGACTGTTTCTAGTCGCACCATCGAGAAAGACTATGCTCGTAGATACTTGCAATGTGGTCGCATTTGATCCGCGCCCAACGTCGACGATACAGGCGGTGGCTTCGGAGGTGGCTGCGTCGCTTGTCCTGGCTCCAAGGCTCTCTGGTCACCTACCGGGAAGGACCAAAGTCCGAATTTCAGAAATTTTCCGGAAGGACAAGTCCGAAACCATTGACTGGTAGGACGTGCCTGGCGCCAATCAAGTTGGGTAACCGAACTTTCCGATTTCACCGCGTCGCAAGATGAGCCACCACCATCGGTCGGGGCCGCTCAAGCAGAAGAACAAGAAGCACAAGGTCGGGAAGCATGACACCAAGACGCTGCTCGCCAAGAAGAGCGGCGGCAAGGTCGAGCGCGTTGTCGGCAAGGCCGGGAAGCTCCTCCTCACGGGCTCCAAGGCGCAGCGCCTCCAGAAGGCCAAGCAGTGGAAGCAGATGAAGGCCGACGATGTCTCGATGCGCCACCGCCTCGGCGCGCTCAACGGCCCGCCCAAGGTCGTCGCACTCGTACCGCTCGGGCCCTCGGCCAACCTCGACGCCGTCCGCGCGTCGATCGTCGAGACGGCCTCCAACGTCACGTACTCGGAAGACGTACACGCTCTCTATGAAATCGTGGTCTTAGCCTCTCTCGTAGGCGCGCATGCTTGGCCGCTTCACGCACGCGACGTTTGCCAACCAGAAGCAGCACCTCTCGATCATCGAGTGCGGCCACGACGTCCTCGGCATCCTCGACATGGCCAAGGTCGCCGACATCATGGTCTTCGTGCTGCCCATGTACAACGGTCCGGACGCGGCCGTGGGTGCGGACGGCGATGTGCTGCTTTCGGCCATTCGCGCGCAGGGCCTCGTCGCGGCGGTCGGCATCATCCAGGGCTCGGAAGTCCACGCGCCTAAGGTTGAAGCCGACTGCCGCAAGTTTGGCCAGCGCTTCTTCAACACGGAATTTGGCGATGCGATCAAGGTTGCTGTCGGCAACAACAACGTGCAGGTCATGCGTGCGGTCCTCACGGTCCAGCCCAAGGTGCTCCACTGGCGCGAGATCCGCAGCTACATGCACGCGACCAACGTCGTGTTTGCCCAAGAGTCGGAGACGGCCGGGTCGCTCCATGTGACGGGGTACCTCCGCGGCAAGCCGCTCTCGGCCAACCAGCTCATCCACCTCACCGACATTGGCACGTACCAGCTGAGCCACGTGGTCAAGGGCGACGACCAGAACACGCTCCTTGCCCGCGCCGACCCGTCCAAGCAGGAAGATCTGCAGTACGAAGCCGAGGTCGACACCTTTGCGGCCGAACAGACGTGGCCGACCGAGGAGGAGCTCAAGGAAGCTGCGAGCACGCGCAAGGAAGTCGACGTCGCCGGCATGAGCAGCTACCAAGCGGCGTGGCACGTCGATGACGCCGAGGATGCGGACGGCGATCTCAACATGGACGAGGACGAGGACGATGACGCGTCGGACAACGAACTGCCGGACCAGAGCTTTTGCAAGGTCGGCGGTGACGCGCCGAAGGACAAGGCGTTGAACGACGACGATGACGACGACATGTCGATGGTCGACGAAGACGAGGACATGGAGTTCCGCAGCAACGAGAAGGCCAAGCTCCAGGCCGAGCACGAAGCGTTCCCGGATGAGATGGACATTCCCGCCGAGACGCTCGGGAAGGACCGCTTTGCGCGCTACCGCGGCATGAAGAGCTTCCGGACGAGCCCGTGGGATGCGAAGGAGTCGCTGCCGATGGACTATGCCCGTCTCTTCCAGTTCGAGTCGTTCCACTACACGCAGAAGCGCGTGCTCGACGAGGCAAGGAAGCTGAGGCGCTCTGGAAGGACGCGGTCAAGGCGTCCGAAGACGATGCGGCGCCGGTCCTCGTCGGTGAGTACATTGCGACGGGTGCCCTTGTGACGCTCGTGCTCAAGAACGTGCCGGTGGCCAAGATGGCCGCGCGCATGCAGGTGAACCGCCCGTTTGTGCTGAGCTCGCTCCTTCGCCACGAGAACCGCATGTCGGTGCTCAACTTCACGCTGCAGCGGGCGTCGGGCGACATCTCGGTCAAGTCGAAGGACCCGATGATGTTCCACTGCGGCTTCCGGCGCTTTGAGGGCCGTCCGATCTTCTCGGACGAGAATAACAAGAGCGACAAGCACAAGTTTCAGCGCTTCATGCCCAGCGCGGGCTGGACGGTCGCGACGGTCTATGGGCCCGCGACGTTCCAGCCGGCGTCCGTCCTCGCCTTCCACAGCAACGCGCTCGTGGGCTCGGGCACGCTCCTCAACGTCGACCCGGATCGCATCATCTTGAAGCGCGTCGTCATTGCGGGCACGCCGGTGCGGGTCAAGAAGCGCAAGGCCGTTGTGCGCTACATGTTTAACTCGCCCGAGGACGTCCGGTGGTTCAAGCCTGTCGAGCTCACGACCAAGCACGGCATGACGGGCCACATCTCCGAGTCGCTCGGTACGCACGGCGACTTCAAGGCGGTCTTCAACAAGCCCATCAAGCAGCACGACACGGTGTGCCTCAACCTCTACAAGCGCGTCTACCCCAAGCGTGTGGTCCAGGACATGTAGGCGCAATGAATAAATGATGAAATGAAATTAGATTATCCAATGTGGTTGTTTCTCGGAAATCAACACGACTACACTATCCAGGAACCGACAGGATAGCGAAACGAGGTATCCAGAGGACACCGATCGAAGATCCCGATTGGGATAGCGTGAATCCAAAACCTGGTGGGTCGATCCCATCGTCCTTTTGTTGGAGTGTGCGGGATGTCATCAGGAAGATAGAATGTCCACGTGGCGTGTGCACAGGTTGTCTGCACGTGGCCGACGTCAACCTCTTTGTTTTTATATTTTGAAGTTGGATATTTAGTTTTGGAGGACGCCAGTGTGCAATTAGAATGGTACTCGTGTCGTCGACGGCCTTTCTGCCCCAGCTCGCGAGCCTCTTCCAGACGTCGCTTCCCGGCGGCAGCGGCGCCGTGACGGTCCGGACTAAGAGCGGTACGACGACGACGACCTTCCATCCCCATGGCTCATGGACCTCTCGCAGTGGCGTCGACCAAGGTCGGCAAGCAGCTGCGGGCCGACGCTGTCGCCGCCGGCCCCAGCGTCTACCTCGTTCGCGCCTACAAGAACGGCAACAACAAGCACAAGGCCAAGCTCTCAACCATCGTACGCACGACATGCGTGCGTCGCACGGCCTCTGATGGTAGCTATGCTAGGTGCCGCCGGCGTCCCATGCTGCGTTCCAGGCCGAGCTCACCAAGGTCATGAAGGCCAAGATGCAAGGGCTCAAGAAGCCCAAGCGACACGCCAGCCAACACTAAATGCTATCCGATGCGACTGCTTCCATCGCTGCTGCGATGCTTTAAAACGTAACTTTTGCGTAGCGACCAGAGTCTTGTCTTGCGGTGCGTCGTTCGAGCTGCAGCATGTGCCATTTAGCTGGTGGGCCAAGGCGAGATATGCGTCGTCGGTTGCTCACGCTGGTAGACATACCCGCATATCTTTGAGGACACGAGCAGAATGCCATCAATGTCGGCCCTCTCCACCAATCGACGCGCCGGTTACAAGCGCACTCTGCAGCCGCCACGTGGCATGCGGTGCAGGTGCTTAATGGAGCGCCTGTGAAGGGAAGCGGAGCTGGCGCCAGCGAGGAAGAAGCAAGCGATGGGATGCTATCAATAATGGACGCAGCACTTGGCGACCTGGGTGTCGCAGCTCGATGCCCCCCACATGGTCGTCTCATCATGAAGGAATGCATGTCTTGGGGCGATACAAAAGAATGACGGTAAAAGATCCAGGTCGGAGTCGTCCATACAAGGCCATACTACGAGCTTGTCTGCGCCCTTATCGCTCTTTAGTGTTAGTAGAGCTCCAAGCCTGCATGAATCTTCCATGGCGGGCGATGTCAACCCATCTAGAGGGCTTTCTTTAACTCAAAGCTCGGTATCGACAAGCACCGGATGCATGGCCGACGTCGCGCGGGTCTCCACTTGCTCTACCATACGACTGCTTTTTTCGATGGTGTCCGCATAGTGCAGTGTTGGACAGGCATGTACAGGCCTCTGGCAACCCAAGGCAGCAAAACTCTTGCGATATCACAGAGACTTCGTGCCATTCTCCAACGCACCGCCTCTCATGCACACCAGCTCCGTCCAGCAACGCACGTCGCGGTCGCCTCCGGGTAGCCAAGCGACTTGTGCATTGGAGATCAAACTCGACCTCCCAACGATCCACCCGCGCCAGACCAAAGAGCACCTCCGTGCGACCCACGACGTGTCCTTTGTCGTCTATCTCGGTGGCACCCTCGGCGCCGTCCTCCTCACGTGCAGCCTCCTCGACACCACCTCCTTCTTCCTCCACCTCAGCGTCTACCTCGCCTTTATCGCGTCGGCGTGCGTCGGCCACCGCTACGTCAGCGCCCGCGTCTACGGCGGACGCCGGCGGTCGCTCTC